AGACCTGACCCGTCTGTATATATGTCAATTTCTCCTATTTTTGGAGCATCTAAATAATGCGGAATAAAAATTCTTTCAGCAGGGTGAATCAAATTTAAATCAAATTTTTCAAAAGCACACCGTGTTACAATAGAATCTCCATATAATTTAAAATCTATATTTCCTTTTCTTAAACGAAATTTATCATAATAAAAAACAAATAGTTTGGACAGAGGGGGCACACCGGCCAGGATACAAACAACCTCAGTAGAGGTCATTCTGAAACATCTCGTAAGCATTAGTAACCAAGCTCTCTGCATTGTGTCCAGTTTCATACGAAGTCTAACCAGCTCCTCCGCCCGGCAACCCATGCGCCTATGCCATACATAATTTCCTTTTATAAGGAAAATGTCTATTCAATAAATCATTTGCAATGAGGTTCCAGTACAGAGGAGCACTAGAAGACCCCTGAGGGCAACTCTTGCTGGAATCAATAATTATAAATTGACCATCTTCATTCTCATACACAATCTTCCTTTCCTTAAAATAATCTATAATAATGTTTAAAATATTCCTTGGTATCTTCAATTCAAGTAACTTAACAAGGAGTGAGGGCCAACGAATAGAGTCGAATGTTCCAGTAACATCAAAAGAGACAGCCATCACATGATCTATCTCTTTATTATCTCTTATAAAATTAATAACATAATATAATACATCCTCTGTACTCCGCCCGGCACAAAAACCATATTGATCAGAACACATAAGTTTCTTCGTTTTTATATAATATTGTAAGCGATTTGCAATCAATTTGTCCAGCGCCTTGCCCATCATCTTTAAGAGACATTTTGGCCTCATTCTATCATTGCTTTTAGGTATGAGAACTAATTTTGCAATTTTCCAAACCTAAGGAAAGAGCCCATGTAACAAAGACTTATTGTATAAATGCAGGAAAAAGCTAGGATAAAACTCAAACATCTTCACTATGCCCGCATGTATACCGTCCAAACCAGGGGAACTTCTTGTATGAAGCTGTATAATAGCCGTCCGAATCTCATCCAGCATGAATTCTTTATCATCGGCATTACATTCATTTATTTTTTCCGACTCAGTAGGATAAGCGATAAGCGATAAGCAACGGAGGACGTGGGCACTGTCCCTTTACCAAAAGGTTAATCGGTATAGTACCACGTCCACCTATATCTAGAGCCTAAAGAGGAATCACAAGACGCCACGCGCCGGGCGCCCAAACCCAGAGCCAAATTTAAACCCGGGGGCAGTCCAACAGACCAAATGCCCACGGCGTCCAATCACATCCCACACATGTTCGATTGGTGACAGTCAGGAGAATACGGTGGCCAGGGAAGCATCTGTATACCTTGCAGAGCATGTTGGCAGATGCGAGCACTGTGCGGTCGGGCATTATTCTGCTGAAAAATTACATTAGGCAGCCCCTGAAGGTAGGGGATTCCCACCGGCCGCAGTACATTATCCAAGTATAGTTGGGCCGTCATAGTGCCCTGAATACGAACTAGAGGTGATCTGGAATCGTTTCGCCATTCTGTCATCCACATCGCTCCACTCCAGTATCATTCTAGACGTTGGCGTCTATGCTGTGGAGTCAATGGCAGTCTTCTTAACGGACGCCGTGAGTGCAAGAGGCGTTCAACCAATCTTTCAAAACACGACAATATATAATTCACGTATATCCTTCGGAAAATATGAATAAAAAAACTATAATTTTTTTGTAGGTGTGCTTAAAAATATATCTACTTTAAGATGATGATAAAAATTTTATAATTCAAAATATTTTTTGAAAACTTTATGAAAACTATTTAAAATTACAAATCATAAAAAGTGGGTGAATTTTATTTGGAATGAACCTGAATTTCGAAATGTGAAAGGAAGAATCAAATAAGTTTAGCAGTAGAAGAGAGACTAATAAATATATACCAAACTCAATTAATATTGACGAGCTAAAATGGTTTTACAAAACTTGGTAGTTTGGCGTAATTTGAGTAGTAGAATCGAAATATGGAAAAACGGGGTATGTTACTTCAGAAAAAGTCATTTTGTGTCAAAATATCTATATTAGAACAATGCTATATATAAATCTAATACATAGCCTAAGTCGCCCTTTCGATACATGAAAAAAGCAATTTTAATTTCGTCAATCGGCCAGTAGTAGAACGGGAGAATAGAACTGTCCCATTTTTTTTTTTTTTTCGCGGTGTACTCTAGCAAGGACTCTGTGCATATGAGAGATATAGAACTGTCCCATTTTTTTTTTTTTTCGCGGTGTACCTCTATGCAAGAACTCTCTCCTCATCAGACTCCTGTGCATGTGGTGAAAAAGGTCACCCCGAACATTATCTGTTTTCCTGCCCGCTTACAGATTCCCTTCATCTAAATAAGCCGAATTCAGAAGAGGATTTATTCCCATTTCTAAGATATGCAGTCAAGAATAAGCACTTTAGGAATTAAATTACGAAAGGATTTTGAATTTTTGGCTGCTTGAAGTCAAGAGCTATGTAGTTGTAATTTAGCCTTGAAATTCTCCAGCAACAGCGAAACAATGCTATATATAAATTAATTAAATGCAGCAATTAAATGCAGAAATAATAGTTACAATAGGCGGGCGTACCTTACCAGGAAAGAAATAAGCACCGCATATGAAACACAACATAGGACACTCACAAGTAGGGTAAGGGGCTACTATCTATTTACTTAGAGTAAATAATAGATGACCCCCTACGTTTCTATGTAACATAAAGTAACATCACCTGAAAACCGAGCACATATAAAAAATTACCAGCATTGAGTTGGTAAAGTATTAACAATGTAATGTATTATGAAATGTAATTCTTGTAAACTAATTACTGTAATGCATACAATGAACTGATAAAAAATAAGTTGGCAATGTATCAGCATATGTATGCAGATATATCTAAAAGCACGTAGTACACATAAGTATGCAGATGAAGCTATTTTTTTTTTTCATCTGACTTCATTCAAACTTATTAAAAGTTATTTATTTATATTCTTTTTATTATTACTTTATATTCTTCAAACTTATTTTCAAACTTATCTATTTACATCCTTTTTATTATTATTTATATTCTTTTTCTAATTTTTACTGCTGATTGTAAATAATGATGTAAACAAGTCATCATGATTGTAAACATGATATATAAATTAGAAATATTTAGAAATTAGAAACATATATAAATTAGAAAACATGATATATAAATTAGTTGTTTCTAGCCACTACAACTTATAATGTCATGATCATTCTTTACATGTCAATAACAATGTACGGTAAAAGTTTACAATTGGGTGCATCTTGTTTTTTTAGAGATTCTCTTTTGATGCTAAGATCGGCGCCAGGAAGGCACTTAGAAGTCAAAGAATTGGACAAACTGGGTGTCCATGTACGCATCGATCTATTTTCACTTAAAAAAACATCAGAGAATTGCACAAACTAGGCACTGCCTTAAGTTTGACCATGTACACATCAATCTATTTTCACTTAAAAAAATTCAGGAAGATTAAACAAAGTTAAAATTATCGCAGTAACCAGAAATAGGGTTTCATCGCCAAAACTGAACAAAATTTGTCGCTAATCGAAGGGGCACCCAATTCTACATTAGAGCCCATTTCGGTAATTCTACTGCTAGATGTAATGTAATTTCTAAAAATCAGTTATCACAAAAACATACGTTATAGTACATAATGAATCGTCAAAATTGAGCTGCTATAGTTTCAGCACAACTATATAACAGTACTTAAATGTAAGCTTTGTAAACAATTTTTAGTTATAACTTAATTCTGATAGTAAACACAGATGTAAACAGATCATCTTTGCAAAAATGATTTGTAACGTGGGAACATCACTCCTGTTTCTACTGCAATATATAATGTCCTGAAACATGATGCCTGTACCCATATACATATCACAATGTGTATCATGTAATGTAATCGATTTTACTGTCTTTCTACGAGAAGAAGAGCTCCTGCCATAGTGTCTGGCGGATGGCTGTCGCTATAGCAACAGGGCTAGTATATTTCAAATAGGGGCGAACCAAGGGTTGCTTTATTGTTATTTTGTTTCTGGCGACTGTTTGCTGAGGAAAAAGAGTTTATCATTCGTCTTCAAGACACCCCTACAGAAAATGGGTCGACTCGTTTCTATGGCAACAGACAACTGCAGACTAACTGGCGAGAGTTTTTCGTATGATAGACAGGCTGTACTTGAGCTAATTTAACGCTGAAAGGTAGGAGTGCCGTTGATGCTGCCGGCGGTGGCAGAACTTGTAGTGTTGGCTGGAGTGACAATTTCTATCACGACTCCAGGAATGATGCCGGAATGTTGTTAGTTTCTAGTTAGTGTGTGTGAGGCTAATACCTACTTACTTAGGGTTAATATTAAGTGGCCCCCTTCACTTCTACATAACATAACATAACTGAGCTCTGAACACACTGAATTGCATTTGACTTTACAGCTTTATATTTCAATTCTCGGAGCTTGAGTAGAAACGGAAACTGAAAAATTTCTCACACATGAGAATTAGTACTTGTGATTAATTGTTATTCAATTAGAAATCTCATAAAATTGAAGTGATTTTATTTTTAGCTTCTTCCCTTTTAAAAAATATGCAAAATGTTTCTTTTTTATATCACCTGAAAAGTTTTTAAATGATTTAAAACACAGGAAATAAATAACAACAATTGTGATAAAATTTTAAAAGACTTTTTTCATATCTTTAGTAATTTTCGTTTATAAGTTTATATGTTAGTACAATAATTTATTCAGTAATGCATTCTGTGTAGTCTTAAAATATTCTGAAGCAATTTATTTAACCAGTTCTCAATGTGTGCATATTACCTAATCTATGAAAAATTGTATACATGAAAATATATGAAATGGCCTGCAGATGATGCTCTTACTGTGCATGACTGCTAACTGCAGTAGAAACTTTTACTACCGCTTTAAGAATAATTCTGAAAAAGGGCAAACTTGCTTCTACCAGAAAACACATTTTATTCAAATTTACTAATTTATGTGCCGCTTATTCTTCAAAAACCTTGCAATTCTGGTATATTATAAAAATTTGGAAGACATTCTGGATTGATCACAGTTTCTGGATTGTAAGGCATATTATTGATGATTTTCTTTACAATAATTTCCAGTTCCTTCCCGCTTGCAGTGTACTATAAGAAAAGGAATAAGTATTTTATTTTGCAAATTTGTTAAAACGTTTTATATTTTATATAAAAAATTAATATAATTCAAGCAATTTAAGAAGAATGTGTACAATTAATTGTTTTCTCGTTAAAGAAATAAAAATTTCGCTTATGATTTAACAATACTCTTTTGTTCAATATAGTGATTCATACATGCATACATATTGTAAGATCTAGTTTTCTGGGGCCAATAACTGAACAGACTGAACAGTCTTCTGTATTTGCATGCTCGTGTCTGTTATTGCTTTTTCTAGGACGATATTAAACAACAGTCAGGAACAAGAATCCCATTGCTTTAGTCCTTTTTCAGTATAAAATATATACGATGATTCGTTTCCCAGTTCAACTCTACATTTAACTCTCCTAAGGGTCCATCTTTATCAGATTCATCCATTTTTCAGGAACTCCCAGCTCCAGCATCGCCTGAAACTGTTTCTTCCTGTTAATGCTATCGTAAGCAGTCTTAAAATCGGTGAAAAGGTGGTGTATCAATGTCATGTCATATTATTCTGTTTTCTCGAGTATTTTCTTAATAGTGTGTATTTGGTTGGTAGTACCCTTTTCAAATTCACACTGGTATGCTCCAATATATATATGTAACAAAAGCAGCTAGCCATTCCGATAGAATGTTTAAGAATGCCGTATGTGTTGTGTGATTCTTTTGCAGATTTTAAGCTCCAGTTTACCTCTTTTTTATATATTGTGCATATAGAACAAAAATATAATTATTCTTCTCAAATTAAATTGAATAGAGAACATTTTAAAGTGATGAGAAACATGCACTTGATCACACTGAAATAAGATGCAAAAAGAAGTAAATAATAACTGCGTAGAGAAATTTTGAAAGGAGACATTTTTGACATTTTTTAAAGCAGGTGAGATGAAAAATGAACGATGCCCTCGTCGGGACTCGAACCACGGACCTCTCGAATACACGTCAAGCGTGCTGACCACTACACTAAGACGGGAGAAATACCTTATAACTGTAAATAAGTAAAAACTAGACTAAAGAAAAACAATAATATTAATGGATAAAAATTTTAATATAATAAATAAACGCAAATAAATAAAAGTATTTTTTAAACAATTAATTAAAATCACAGCACTCTTCCCCTTCAACGATTGAGCTTTCTACCAATGCAGTCCTCAAGGGCAGAAGCAACAAATCATAATTACCGCAAGCTAAAAAATTCTATAATCGAGCACTACTCTGCATTTTGATGAAAGAGTTCTTTGAGCACAAACGACAACACCGTTAAGCTCTTGATCACACGGAATTGGCTCCTCTCCATAATACTTGAACCTTGGACAATATCGTCCCAGCGGTTTGTCTTCGGCAAATGTACTTGACACCCTTGTATTTCTGTACCATACTCGATATTGTTCTTTGAATTCAATTAGGATACTTTATCTTTTTCTTTGAACACTTTTGCTCTCTCTTTGACACTGTATTTAGCCCTTATTCTCTGAACTGCTTTATTAACTGGCGAACCTGTAAACATTTCTCAAACGCGCGTGCAGGGAAGACCTCTCGTTATCGCTCAAAACAAAATTTCGAATCAGATTATCGTCCAAAAAATAGATTATATAACATACAAAAATCATAGCCAAAAATTGTCTGGGATGGTACATTAAATCTGGATCAAAAGCGAATTGATTCTCTGCAAATTTTGCTCTCTCCTTGATGACTCTGAAACACAAATGAGGAGAAATAACATAATATTGTTCTTTATCAAAAGCTTCCTTACCATGCCGTCTGCTTTTAAGTATTAAAAAGGTGTTCAATGTGGAATATTTACACAATTCCTTCCGGAAGTGGTGAAATTTTCTTCTGATCCAGAAAATAACAAAAGGCTGCAAAATACGGAATGTGTACTTCTGGAACATTCGAAATTTCATAAACGATTTTTTTAAACATAATTTCTCTTGGTGTAAATAATGAACAAGCTATAAATATGTGTACTTGAAATTTTATGCATTCTAAATTTATAAACACATTTACAAAACTTATTCACAAGTATTCAGATTTGCTAAAAAATTTCTCAGTAACAATATGCGGTTGTTTCATAATAAATCATTCAAAAACACAGTTATTATTTAATTTCTAGTTTAAACAAACACAACCGCAAATTACATATAATTTGCTTACCGGTATATCCATTGTTTCTAAAATAACATCTGGTATATAATAAGATAACAACTCCGTCCCAATCCTATCCTGAATTCTCCGGACCAGTTCGTCGTTGAATGTACATCCCTCTTTCATTTTCAAGAAGAGTACAGCCCTTTCGTCTAAATTCTTGCCATACTGAGAGACACAGACACTATCCTGGACCTCAGGAAATTTGTCAACTAGATATTTAACAAAATAATAATAATAATAATAATAATAATAATGAACATCTGTTTCTTTAGGTACTACACATAAGGTGCACTCGTAAGATATTCATCGATTTGTTTAATCATTTTATCAAGAACTGCATTTAGGCTTGCTGTACTCACATATAGAGTTATTCGTTATAGGTTCCTCTAATGTTAAACATAAAAAGTTCTTCTTAGCAAAAAAGTACTCGGTAACTGAAGTAGCCTACAAATAACTTTTTGGCTTTCAGTGATAGTTAGAACTTGGAAATTATGCCTTATGAAATGATTATTAGAGACGAGTAATTAAAAAACAATAGTTATTTAATAATCAGAGAAGATTGGTTATCTGATCTTTCTACCTTATTTTACCAATTACAGGCACTTCAAATAAAAGATAAAAATAACGTAAAAATTATTTTATACATTAACTAAAATTATCTGAGAGTAAAGTTTTTTTTACTATTATAAGCACTTACATATTTAAATTTTTATTTAGCTTTCAATTCAAAGCCTGGTGCATAGATTTATCTGCTATATCTTTAAAAAATAACCTGAGAATCACAGTATCAGATACAAAAGCGGTTGCAAAGTTATTGTGTAATAGTACTGGGGGAGAACTTATTTAATAGTTGCACTCGGGGTTAATAGTATACGGGAAATATTCGAGGGTACTTGATAAATACAGAATGAAGAGTTTAGATTACTTTATAAGCTCTATACCATATTTCTTTTTCTGAATTATTCATAAATTTTATTTTCTCATTTTCTTTGTCTGTTTCTATGAAAAGAGAAAATACAAAGCAAAGTTTAATGCAAGCACTAGTATTTTTTATGCTAAATATTTACTACATGCAAAATATTTCTCAAAATTTACTGGTTTTATGCACTGTAAGGCGTTCAGAAGGCGATTTATAGTCTTTGTTTTCAGAAGACAAAAATCGAAAACAACTAAATGACCACTAAATTAAGTGACAACAATGATTGCAATTTAACGGCCAACAAGAATTATCTATTTTATAGAATAATTTCATAAAATATTACAAGGAATAAAGAAAAATATACTGTGGTGTAGCGGTCGAATCCGCTGCAAAGAAATCCTGCTGTAATGAAAGGGTTGAATGAACTCCAACTCAAATTATGAACAATAACATGAATTATAATTTTTTAAAAAAATTAACAGGTGCCATTAATAACGGTGTGGGGTTTAGATTCAGTCATTCCAGTCTTTCAGAAGATTGTTACACAGGAATGTGCTCCATCAACAGCACGTATGAGAAGTCATATTTCCAGCGGGCAAAAATGCCCATAGCCCCAGCAGGAAGGTCTTAGCAACCGATGCTCTCCTGAAACACCCTCTTCCTCTCTCGCGGCAAAAACTTTACTATGCTGCTGTATCGTTACCTCTGCTGAATCCGAGGGGAGGAGGGAATTCCTCCATTGGTAAATAACAAAGGGCGCCCACATTTCCCCGCTGTAAGGCTTCTTTATCCATAAATCCACTGGAGTTACCTTGGGGGGGGGAATCAGAATAGTTAAAAATGGGAACTCGTTGTAACAAGATTTCTCCTCTGGTGGGCAAGAGGCACAATTGCATTCAGAACACGGTTCTCCTGGTCGAAACCAGACAAGGAATATCTATACGACTTTGTCACAATACTTATATCTGTTAGAGATTTTCACTCTGGCTTGACAGATCAGAATGCAACGCAATATTATTCTTTTCCGTTTATTAATAGCTTATATATATTATACATATGTACAGCCAGCTATATACTGGGGGATCATAGTTCAAATGCAACACGTCGTTATTACATTCACCTCTCCTGGCTTCCACGCTTCTGAATTTGAGCCATGTAATAGTGACTTTCTTACATTGCTATCTGTCGGTGGATTACATATCTGTGTTGCAAATCCGCTACTCGAAAACAGGAGTTAATTGATTTTCTTAAATTATAGTTAGCCCTGCGTTCTTTTGCTCTCATATTTCACTTATCAAAATTTAATTTCTTTCTTACAGAAAATTTTTGGCATCTGTTAAAGAATTTAAATAAATACCAGAAAATATTTCCGAAAATTCATTACAGGAAAACTGTATTTCAGATTTGGTGACAAAATTAATTTCTGCTTCTCTATCCATATTCTCATATTATTTTAGCCCAATTTCTAACTTTCCAAACATTCTAAACTCTATTCATTTCAATAAGTAGCACGGAAAAATTGAGCACAAAATAGCGTAATTAAAATTTCGGAACTTTCAATTTTTTTCACCTATAAAACATTCTTTAACAGAAAAAAGTGCAGTGTTTACAATTTTAAATGCAAATAATGGCATTCTAAACTAAATAAAGAATATTTCGTTACCAATACTGTAAATCTGGGTAGTTCCAATGCGCCAGCCTTGTACATTCAAAGTAGCATCGCTGAAAGGGGATAATTAATATTTTGGTAGTATAACTTTTTATTACTTCAGATTTATTTATTATCAATTTACTTACAAATATATGCACTCTTAAATTTTAAATTCAACTTATAAAATAGTTTCAGCATTAAGTTTACTTGTTTAATTCTTAAAACAATCCTATTTATGATACACACAGTATGAGCTTGCTTTGTCTTTCGATAGATGCTTTACAATAATAGCTTCAAAATGTGTCAGAATGTTTATGAAAAATCATAGGATATGTAATAGTTTATGTTGAAAGGACATATTTTACCGCACCAAAGTCAACTTTTATAAATGAAATGCATTTACATTAAACTGACGTCTGATGACCAAGGAACTCGAAATACACTTCTGTTCTGTATTTTTAGGATCACAGTTCAGTTGATAAGTAACATTAGAGTAGCAAGATGTGCTGAAAAGTTTAAGCAATATTCAGCAAGTAAGAACAAAACAATTGCTTTTCAAAATACTGAGAAAAAAAAACTTGATACATAAACTTTTTTATATCTGGTCTTCAGGTTCAGGGCTTCAGTCGCGGCATATTGCAATAATTTAAAAAGTGTTTAGATTCATTAGGTTATTTTAAAGCAGGAGACATGATGTAGAATCATTAGGTTTGTTTGGAAGCAGGCAAGATGAAAAATTAGCAACGCCTTCGCCTGGAATCGAACCACGAACCTCTGGAATACCTGGCCCGCGTGCAAACCACTACACCAAGAAGGCACTCTAGGAAAGTGGTAGAAATACCTTATAATGAAAAATGAGAAGTGGTCTCGCCGGGAGTCGAACCTGGACCTCTCGAATACGCGCCGAGTGTGTTACCTTTACACTACGAAGGCATGCGGAAAGGCGGGAGACATTTCTTAAATGTATTACTACAAAACATATTTCAAAGTATTATATGATTTATACATACTCCCAAAATTATTACACTTAAAAATTCTATTATAATTAGATAGTTGATCATAGCAATAAAATCTAAGAATTGTTCAAATTTTATTAAAATTTGAAAATAAAACCAAAGCATTTTTATGACCATTTTCACTTATATAAATTGCAACAGTCAGAGACTATGCTTTCTTAAACTGGTATCTTTTTACTCTAAGTGTGTTTTATGCATTACTAGTAAATTAATCATGTATTTCACAGTAATAGTTTTGGCTTTTAGCTTAAATAAATTAATTTAATTATAGAGCTACTTTTTCTAACTTTCGTTTATTTTTCTTTCCATTGAAACAGAAACATATTTGTAACTAAACTACCATAAATTTATGAACAAATATTCATTTTTAAATATTGCTGTAGCTTAGACATACTCTTAGTTTCTGAAAGGTATAATTTAATTAGTTGTTCAAAATACATTTTAAGACTGTTATTTAGTATCATCATTTGATTCGAAATGAAGATAAACTAAGAACGTACACCTTTTCCTTTTCACTGAATAAGGCATTCTTAAACTTACCACATGTTTTTATAATGTAATTGGATGTCCATCTGGCATCATTGATTTTTCATCTCTTTTGCCCTGAGAAAGAATTAAAGAGCTCAACAAATGATGACCGAACTAAAATATTTTAAGCAAGAATTCATCTCCATCCGCATCTGGCAAAAGTGGTTCTTCCCCAGTCGCCCTTCAAGTGGAGGGGCAGGAGTACCTTCGTGCTATAATTGGAAGCATATACAGGTAATCATACAGGTGATACAGATACATGCAGCACATACAGGTACATACAGCCCATACAAGTAATCATACCGGAGGTTCGGAGTAAGAATTTCGGGGAAAGCATCATTGGCATTTCATGTTCCTTTCCTCGGCAAAAGATTTAATCGTTCCTACATCCTAAAGATTTAATCGTACTCCATCATAGAGGATTTTAATAGTCTGTTCAAATGATCCACGGTCAGAAACATGTAACTGATATCCCACCTGCAGCAGATTACATAAACTACATAGAGACTTCATGGATGTTCAGACTCCCCAGGGATCAGTCTAACGATAAGCGGTACAGTTTTTTTCCCATAGATTTTAAAATAATAATCACTTTCAACAACTTGAAGTTGCCCTATAGATTAAAATTCCAGCAATATCAGGACTAGCTTTTGTGGGACTACTCAGTATTCCATTTACGATCATCTAGTAATCTGAAACCGGATGATTAATCCGTAATATATTAACAGATTATTTCACACGAAGAAGAAATCATTGTAGCAGCGAAAACAGACCTCTGATTTATTTGGTTTTTGAAACGCTGTGGTTAATTAAAAACAAAAGAATTTAAGAAATTCAAAGCATTTATAGAAAACATTTTACACGGATTACAAACGTTTAATTTCTCGGATTAACAGTTAATGAGGTATGAATACCAAAAACGTGTATACAAATTTTTTTTCTCAGAAATTTTTTATGGTTATTTCAAGGGAGGTTTTTAAAGAATGTGTACTTTGTCCCTTTCATAAAAGTACTAGTTAATTATATAAAATATATACATTCATTAGAGCAAAATTAACGGGTAATTTTAAAAACAAATAATAGCAAACGGAAAAGAGAATAAATATACATTCATATTTCCCCGCAGTAATTTTAACTGGAATTAGGAGAATATGAGAATTTTTGCGACAAAATATAAGTATTTTCAAAGGAATTGTTTTGTCTCTTTTATAGCTTTTGAATTTTTTCAAAAAACGCATTTCATCTTCTTATGGAGAATTTTAAAAATCAGTTTATACTATATTAATTGTTTTGTTATGCTTTTATTTTATGCAAACCATACTTTTGTTTTATGCAAACCATACTTTTGTTTTAAGCAGTTTGTAATACTTCTGTTTTATGCAAACCATTTACAAATGCTTAGAAATTACATAATCTTAAATAATGAATTTATATAAACAATTATGTCTCACCTCCTTCCGCAGATAATAAGACCTTTCGTTTTTGGATTAATAATGCCTATGTCACTCATTGCAAATTTTCCTAATAGGAAGAAAACATTTTCTCTCATTTTATGCACAATATTGCATTCTTATAGCATCATAAAAGTTACAAAATCAAGTTAACATTCAAATGAGATACATTAAATATGCTATTAGGATCTGGTTCAAGACCCTCTTTTTGTACTGGAATCTTTCATGGTGAAAGGGCTCATGGACCTGATCTAGCTCTACTGGTCACGGGGATGAGAAACAACAACAACATCTTCTACTGGTGAGGTTTTACATGAAAATAATTTATTACTATTCAACAAACCTTCTTTAAGATTAAAAACCACAGAGCTTGTCTTTCAATACTAAATTTGTTTATTTTAAATTCGTTTAGCATCGTCTTTTACGAGTTGATTTCGGTCAGAATATGTGAATTCCTTTAATGATACATTTTGGCAAGTAGAAGAGATCCAAATAGCATCGCACACTTCAGAAATTATATTGCTTATTTTCAGACAAATTTAGCGTGTCGACCATGGAATCAAGAGATTAGTTTTATATTCAGATATTCTACGCGTTTTAGATATTAACTTCCAAAGAATATCGAGATTATTCAGTCCTCAGGACAAATGAAAACACCGATGTAGAAACTAGAACTTTTTTTTTTTAATATTTACTCCTTCATAAATCTAAACGTAAGAACTAAGCTTATATTTTCCAAATGCCAAGTATACCATATATATATATATATATATACACCTTATAACCTTATATATATATATATATATATACCTTATAACCTTATATATATATACACCTTATATATATACACCATATACTGTGTAAGAATTATCTTAAGTTTTAACAGTTATCTTTAGTTAAAGCTACTTTCCTGTCCTTCCTAATTTCAGCCTACAATTTCCTACCAGAATGTGTTTTCCGAATCGTTTAATGCACGTGAGTAAGAGCGGTATTTAAATCGAAGTTCCACTGACTTCGTTAGACAGCCAGAGATTCTCACTAGCGCGTTCGCTTTTTGGCTACACCTCTCTATGCTATTACTACGCTCGGCCGTATCTCAGGCCCTTGATACATTCGCCAGCTTAGTTGATATTTAGGGGCCAACTATTTAGAAATCTTAATAGCTTCGACTATATCTTTTAGTTAAGCTTTAATTAGGTTTCATTTCTTATTACTTTGAGTTTAAGCTCAAGTGGAGGCTTTGCTGTACGTCCTGAGAAAGGGACCATCTATTAAAGTCTTATTTTGAGAAATAAAGGGTAATTAATCCTTCTTGAGTTTTACGTACCTGTTTCCGACATAAAGCGATTATTCGCTTAAGTGTTCACGAGGTTCCTACACACTTAGCTGTTAAATAAAAGGTTGAAACCCTACAACTGTATTACTTGTTCGTTTTCTTTGCCTTGGTTTCCTACGCTTAATATTCCTAACTTAATTCCTGATTATTACTCCAAAGGGGAAATTTGTCCATAAGGACTATTAATTTCGTCTTGGCATCTTGCGTTGGTTCACTATAAATGCCGCTTCACTTTGTTGCCACCAAATATTAGAGTCCTGCATTATATTTGAAGAAATTAACTAATGAAAAATCTACATAAATGTATGTATGTTTCTCGCATTGTGATAAAACAACGGTACCTACTGCCATCATATTTTGAATAACGTAATCCTCCTCCGAATATGGGCATCTAGAAGCCCAAATTTGGAATTAGTTTTATTACCTATTTCATATTTTGTAAAACTTTAACGAATTTTTTATTAACGAGCTCGATGATTTCAAAGCGATTAATGGCATCACTGTACGAAAAAAATTATCTCCAGTGCGGGAGACTGTGTATCGGAAATTCTAAGGATATGCTCATTTTAAGATTATTTTGCGATACTGCTGTTGAACTGAATTTTATTGTTTAAGTACAAAGAACATGATATTTAATAAATAAAGGCAACACACAAAACGTTAAAAAAATGGCCCTTTGGGCGTAATGTAAAATCTGAAAGCTTTCAGATTTTTTTTCTTTTGTTCTCATACGTAAACAAAAACAAAAAAAAAAAATTCGTATAAAGGCAACTAAAATTATGGCAAATCTAGTTGAAGCTACCATTATCCGCGCTAAGATTATTTCTAGATAACCATTCGCTCTAGCTTCATGAGTGCACGTTTCGATTTGCGATACAGTCTAGGATTTTTAACTAAGAGACTGAAGTTGGACCACGTGACATGGGCAGCAGCTCGTAAAAAAATAATATTTTCATATTTTTCGTTAACTATCGCCTCATCGCGACTCGGACTCATGTGACCGAGCATTAGCGAAAGGGCAAAAGCGAGTCGTGAGTACCTACATTGCGTTGAAAAGCAGTCATATTTATGACATTTTTAATACCTAAACATTAGTGTTTACCCTAAACACCTTTACACTTTTACAAATTTAAAATAACGGCCTATTTCATAAGCACGTTATTTAACCATTGGTTATGAGCTTTTCCAATCTACAGTCTGTTCAACATCTAACACAGAAACTGATAGTCTCATCCTTAACTAATAAATACCATTAAGACTATTCAGTTGAGTACGTAAACACAGAAAGTAATCTTATGAACTAACAGGAACATTCTGAAAAGAAATGGAAAATAATAGGAGAAAAAAATCACATGAAATTGCATCATGATGAACAACAACAGAAAACTGTTGCAATATGTTTAAAGTAGGAAATGGATCATCTCGACTTAGTGTTCATGCAAACAGATCGCCGCTGACCAGGCTTCCGTCCTAAGATCAAACCAATTGGAATGATGCCTTATAATAGGAAAAATAAAATCTTCTACCCTTAGCGATCACAACCAGGGTGGACTGCCAGATCAGCGGCATTTATTGTTGCAGCAGCCAATAAAAATTGTTGCATAGTCAATAAAAAAAAAAAAAAAATGTATCATGCACGTTACTTCTTTGCACGTTACCACGTTAAAATACATCTTTGCACGTTACGCTACATGTGAAAAAAATCATTTATTACATTAATTGAAATATGTAAACACTTGCTACGAGGTTACAGCGGGTGTCCTCAACCTTATAAAGTAACAAATAGAAAAATTCTTGAAAACATCTAAATTGTAATAAAAATGTTTGCAAGTCAATATCTGAGTTCTTGCAATGTTTAATAATTCAATAAACTGTTCAGTTGTTTGAAGCTAAAATAATTTCGAAGCGCACTCTTAAAATTCAATGTACATAATTACAGCCGGAAAGTTGAGCACTAAAGACTCCAATTGTAGCTAAAAGTTCAAATGTTTCGCGAATATCTATATTAAATATAGTAATAAACATATGCAAAGTCAGCATCTAAGTTCTTGCAATGATTATAGTTCCCTAATATCCTGAATTCGTTTATAATTACAGTTTAAAAAGTTCAAAAGCACACTCTTTAAAGTTAAAAAAGATTTGTTATTAAATATTGTTGCTCAATGTATAGTGCCTCATTCGTAAATTCTAAAGACATTTAAAAATAATATACTTGTTATTAAATGTTTAAAATACATAATACTTTCCAAACCCTGGTTTGGCCATAAAAAACAAAAAATAGCCATAATATTCAATCTCAGTTAAGACAATTAGATTATATTTACTGTATAAAAATATAAAATGTCATAAAATTGCACATAATCCAATTTCATTATTCAGTAGTTCTCAAAACAAAGAACTATTATAAAATCATAGTTCACAGAACAGTAAAAGTTAACTCTTTAAGCATTTAACTCATCATAAAACTATAATGTTCAATCTCTGTTTTGGCAATTACATCACGATTTACTTTATAAAAATAAAATGTTATATAAGTGAACATAATCCAATTTCAATATTCAATAGCTCTCAAGATAAAGAACTAAAATAAAAACATACACTTGACAAAACTGCAAAATTGTTCATGAAAACAGAAGAATTACCTGGAAATTTTGAAAAATATGTAGCCTTGAATATAGACCGATCGTCATCTCCCCATATGCCCAAAACTAAAGAAGGCATAGGTTTCGCTATTACAATTTCTCCGGGTTCACCTACTACAGATTTTCCTGCAAAAATATTTATATAGAAAATATAATGCCTTTGTTACTGTGAAAGACTGAAATCTGGAGAATGTCAACATTCTTCAGTGAATGTCAGCATTCACATAGTCCCTTGCTGTACGTCCGAAATATTTGCTAAGTATCCTGATTTCCCCCTTACACAAGCAAATGTCGACATTCACGATGCACTGATGGTGAATGTTGAATAAAAATAATTGTGTTACTTTTTAAACCATATTTTATTATTAAAACATATTATGATTATGTCAAAATAGGAGAAAGTAACAACACATGTAAATTACATATTTTTCAAACTTAAAATATTATTGAACTTAAATGAGCGCCAAATTCTATTGGCTTTATATAATAAGATATATAATAAGATATTAATCTTAGTATATAAAGTGTCAGCTTAATTTATTGCAATAAATAAGATTGTATAACATCTAATATACTTATAATAGATGTTATACAATCTTATTTATTGCAACAAATTAATCTGACACTTTAAAATGCACAAGGATCCTTTGCTTTTAGAATTTCCTTTAGTTGTGGAACAGTGAATTTTTCTCGGGTTCTAGTTCCCACCTCCACCAGAGTACATCTGTACTTACCGACATATACACCGGTGATGTTTGTTGAAATTTCCCGAGAAATGTCGCCATCTCCAGTTTCAGTCCTTAACGCATTAAAATAGGAAATCGCAATAAAATCAATCTTAGAAAATCAGTACCTTAAGCCAATATTTCAAAGACAGTGTACGTTCCGTTGTTTAAAAATAGTGGACTGTAAATTGACTTGATATTACTTCAGTATAGAACCCAAAAAACCTCAGAATCATAACTTTGACCGAAACTTCTTTATTGACTTTCAAATAGTAAGTTAGTTGAGGAACGGCGAAGACCACACAAACTCCGACTTCAGTGGCGGCTTACCAACACAAACTCAGAAGAACCTCTGCTTAGTTGAAACTCCAGTAATTCACAGCAACCTCAAAGGGCTCTAAACGCGAGCTTTAAAAACCTAACAAATTTGCGTCTGCGCCGCTCCTCGGTACAAAGAAAGAAATACAATTTGCATAACATCGAACATACCCCCAGCCTTGAAGTCCCAAGGGGTTCAAACAATAAATTTAAACTGTTGAAATGCATAAGCCTGAAAAAAAAAAATTAAAGTCTCTAAATCAGGAATTAAATGGCAAAGCGCATAGCTTTGCTATAGGTCGTTTTATTTCACCATTAGACGTGCGTAAACTCACCACTCGAACTTTCTCATCCAAACCAGGATATACTTTAATAATTCTACCTAATTTCCAACGTAGCGGAGGTAGATTTTCGTTCTTAATAAGAACCATATCACCAATCTTCAGGTCTTGTACCTTGCACCACTTGGGTCTCTGCTGCAATCTAGATAAATACTCACTGCTCCATCGATTCCAGAAATGTTGAAATAACCTTTGCACGTTCCTCCAACGGTCACTGCAGCTCATGGTTTCTTGAATTTGGTTAGATTCTGGAATAGCGCTTAAAGCCGCTCCGGTTAAAAAGTGTCCTGGTGTTATCGCCTCCAAGTCGCTACAATCACTTGAAGCTGGTACCAAAGGCCTAGAATTAAGACAGGATTCAATTCAATTTGGGTTATTAATGTCAAAAATTCCTCGTATGTTAAAATAAGTGTTCCTAAACATCTTTTTAAGTGATGTTTTCATAGACTTGATACCCGCTTCCCAAAGCCCTCCAAAATGAGGGGCAGAGGGAGGATTAAATAACCATTTAATATTTTCTGAAGAAATATAACCCTGTAGCTGTTCATCACGTTGAACAATAGAAAAGGCTTTCCTTAATTCTTTATTAGCTCCTATAAAATTCGTTGCACAATCACTGTGAATTTCACACGGTTTGCCTCTACGAGCTATAAACCGCTTAAGTGTCGCGAGGAATGATTTTGTTGAAAGATCTCCAACTAATTCTAAGTGTATTGCTCTTGTAGTAAAACAAATAAATAGACATACGTAACACTTAAAGATTTTGACTCCTCTACCAGGACGATATTTAACGTTAAATGGTCCTGCTAAATCAATCCCTACACGAGAAAAAGCTCTACTTTGAGTAACTCTTGAAGCGGGTAAATCTGCCATTAGCTGAGTTGCAGTTTGCGCTCTAACTCTACGGCAGATAACACATTGGTTTATACACTTTCTTATAATATCTCTAGCATTCACAATCCAAAATCTATGTCGTATGACAGAAGTGAGTAGCTGCGTACCTGCGTGAAGATACGTGTCATGATAATGCTTAATAATTAAACGCGTAATATTGTGATTCTTAGGTAAAATCATAGGATGTTTCTGATTATTTGAAACTGTAGAGTTTCTGAGCCTTCCGCCTACACGCATTACTCCCGCGGAATCCAAGAAAGGACTTAAAGACAGTAATTTACTTGATGTCTTCAAGGGTTTACCAGATTCTAAACAGAATAATTCTTCTGGAAATTCGGCTCTTTGCACAATCCTAACAATCATAGAAGTAACTTCACAGAATTCTTCAGTAGATAAATAACCCTTTATACGCTCTGTAGGTAACTTACTACAATTATTTCTAAATCTTAAACACCACGCTAACACTCGACATAACTTTAACCATGATGAAAATCTTGAAAACACACTAGGCTCTTCAAATTTGGAAACATTTGAACTGAAACTCTTTTTCAATTCCTTCAACATAACTTCACACCCTCTAATTCTACACTTGAATTTTGCTGTACATGAATTAGGGATTCGTTTAACCACTGCGGTCCCTTCATCCATAACTCACATTGTAGGAATTCTGATGGAATAAAACCTCTGGTCCCACAGTCTGCAGGATTTTCTTTCCCAGCAACATAATTCCATTGAATACCTGGAACAGCTTCCTGGATTTTTGCAACTCGATTTGCCACAAAAGGTAGCCAACGGCGAGGTTCGGACGAAACCCATGCCAATGTAACCCGCGAGTCGGTCCATGCGTAAATATTGTTAATAGGCAGTTCTATGCATAATAATACTGCATGTAAGAGGTTGGTTAAAAGTAACGCAGCACACAACTCTAGTCTCGGAAGAGACTGGGTTTTTAAGGGCGCTACTCTGGTTTTCGATGTCAGAAGGCTGACTTTGACTGACGAATCAAGGTTGATTGTTCGGAGATAGATGACTGCACAATAAGCCTTTTCTGAAGCGTCGCAGAAAGCATGGATTTCTATAACTACTGCCTTCGGACTCAAGACATACCTCGGAAATTGTAAGCTTGAAAGTAAGGGCAATTCTAGATAGAAACGCTTCCATTTTCTACTTATTCTCTTATCAACGAGTTCATCCCAACCCAGCTGTAAGTTCCATAACTCTTGTAATAATATTTTCGCGTATATTATTGTTGGCGCTAACCATCCCATTGGATCAAAGATTTTGGCTACTTCTGATAAAATAGTCCTCTTAGTAAACTCTTTATCACTTATGCATACCGAAAAATGAAACGTATCACTAGAGTTGTTCCAATTAATTCCCAATACTTTTACTTTCTTGTCACTGTTTATTTCAAGAGAAATACTGGATTCTCGTAAGCACTCGGGAATATTCTCTAAAATAGCTGAACTGTTTGAAATCCACTTCCTTAAGCGAAATCCACCCCTTTTCATCATTTCATTCAACTGCTGAACTAGAACATTCGCTTCCTCTTCACTTTGTGCCCCTGAAAGCAAATCATCAACATAAAAATCACGAAGGGCAATTTTTGATGCTAAAGGAAATCTCACTTGTTCATCTAATGCAAGTTGTTTCATTACTCTAGTAGACAAATATGGCGCACAGGCAGTCCCATATGTAACTGTCACTAATCTAAATGTACTCAAGGGCTCACTAGGACTATCCCTCCAAAGCATTCGTTGCCAATTTGTATCTTCTGGGTGGACACGAATTTGTCTGAACATCTTCTCTACATCGGCACATACTGCAATTTTGTGAGTTCTAAACCGTAGAAGAATTGGAAACAGCTCTTGCTGAACTCTTGGCCCAACCATCAAAATATCATTCAATGAAAGACCCGATGTCGTTTTAGCTGAAGCATCGAAAACAACTCTCAGTTTAGTCGTAGTACTTGATTCCTTTAATACGGCATGATGAGGCATGTAATACGTAGAGTCAATAAGAATCTCTCCCTCAGGCACTCCCTCCATATGTCTCAGCTCAAGGTATTCCCTCATGAAATCCTTATACTGTTCATATATCTGAGGCCTTTTTAGAAGTGAATTTTCTAAAGATTGGAATCTACGCATAGCTAATTGTCTGGAATCTCCAAGCTGAGAAGGCGGAGAGTGAAACGGTAATTTCACAGTATATACCCCACTTTCCTCTCTCGTATATGTAGATTTGAAATAATCTTCACATGCTCTCTCCGATTTAGTAAGCATGTCAAACGTAGGTACAGCATCCAATTTCCAAAAGTCAGACAGCATCTGATCAGTTTCCACTTGTATATTATTAACATAGATAGTAGGATTAATTTCTGTTGAATTATTCACACTACCTGAAATAATCCATCCTAGTTCAGAACGAGAAGCTACCGGTTTACCTTCTTCGCATTTAATTATTTCTCCCTTTAAAAGAGGTAAGGCAATATCTACGCCTAAAAGTATATCAACAGGCCCACTTTTGTAAAATGTTGGATCTGCTAACATTAAATCATTATATTCCTCAACGTACTTCTTATCCAATGTAAAATGCGGCAAAGTTCCAATAATTCTATTGATGATAAATACTGGTGTTTTAAATGACACTTTCGCCGGAAAATGCGGAACGAAGTTTATTTCCGTAATTCCATTAGTTTTCGTATCCAAAGACCCTAAACATGAAATAAAAACTTTGGCATTTCTTCTTGCTAACCCTAGCCTTTGTACACAATCTTCTGAAATCAGGCTTGCTTGACTGCCAGGGTCAAGGAGGGCTCTACACAATTGGTATTCACCCGATGAATCTAACACTTTAATAACAGCCGTACATAATAAAACTTCACTCTGAAAATTAAAGTCTGAAACACAAGATTTAATTACTGGACTAGAACTTGCGATATTCTCCCCTGACCCCTGACCCAGCCGATTGAGCGCGAGGTTCTGGCCCAGGGAAAAATGGCTTAGCCGTCACTGATAATTCATTCGAACTGTTCGTAACTCCTTTACGTGCCTTTGGTTCATTTTGAACTCTTTCGAAATGCAGTAGTGTGTGATGATTTTTTAAAGCACTTTTTACATTTATGTGTACTTCTACACTCGAAAGCTTTATGATTTTGAAACCAAACAATTAAAACAAACATTATTTCTCTTGACAAAATTAACGCGTTCCTGAACATTCAGATTTAAAAACTTATTACATTTAAAAACTGAATGACCGGCTTTACAATACGTACACTGCGCGCGAATCTCTGAAGCCAATGAAGTTAATTTGTCTTTTGTAACTTGTTTTTTAACACCTTGCGTTTTACCTGCTTGCAAGGTTCTGGCATGAGATTTCAAGAACTCTAGCAGATTATTAAGTGTTGGTATTTCCTCACTCTTTAATGTTCTTTCCCACCATCCTCTCGTCGAAGAATCCAATTTAAACTGTACTATTAACATTAAAATAGTATCCGCGAATTGCTCCACTTTGAATCCTAGATTTTCAAACGAACATACACACTCTCTTACAGTGTCTACTAACGCTAATATCTGACTAGGAATTTCAGCTTGTAAATTTGATAAATACAAGATTTTCTTTAATAACGATGAAAGTAATTCTCTCTTATGTGAAAATCTTTGACACAATAAATGCCACGCTATTTCGAAATTCCTGTCACAAATAGTTAAAGCTTGAACAATCCGCAAAGCATCTCCTTTTAAAGAACCCTTTAAATATTGTAGCTTTTGTGCACCTGATAAACGGTCATTATCCACTATCGCCGTTTTAAATAAATCAAAAATGATAACCATTCTTCAGTACTGCCACTAAATACAGGAAGAGTTAGCTTAGGTAAGCGTATACTCGCTATTTCACAAGATTTAGTTTCCACACTAATGTCTTTAACATTCTTAACTCTGGTTAGCATTAAAATTAACTCATCAACAGTATCTTGTATGACCTGTTGTTCTTCTATAAATACATCAATATCTTTTTCTTCACACACTACAAATATGTTACTAAAAATATCCGAAAGTTCGGTCATTAAATTATTTAATCTAGATTTAAAAAGTTCTAACTGATCAACATCAGCAGAATCGTAAGTCACTGTAATTTTCTCTTTCAGTTTACTTAACTTAGCTTTAGCTACACGCTTTTTAGTCTTAAGCGTTGTAAATTCCATTATCTAATAAGAAAGATAAAAAAAACACACTGACTCACCAAATTTACTGCGACTCCGTAGCCGACGGACCAAAAAACATGTACGTTCCGTTGTTTAAAAATAGTGGACTGTAAATTGACTTGATATTACTTCAGTATAGAACCCAAAAAACCTCAGAGTCATAACGTTGACCGAAACTTCTTTATTGACTTTCAAATAGTAAGTTAGTTGAGGAACGGCGAAGACCACACAAACTCCGACTTCAGTGGCGGTTACCAACACAAACTCAGAAGAACCTCTGCTTAGTTGAAACTCCAGTAATTCACAGCAACCTCAAAGGCTCTAAACGCGAGCTTTAAAAATCTAACAAATTTGCGTCTGCGCCGCTCCTCGGTACAAAGAAAGAAATACAATTTGCATAACATCGAACAGACAGTAAAAAAGGGAATTTTTCCAGTACTATTCCGTTTTGAGGACCATAAAAAATTTGCAGCGAAAATGTATGCGCAAAAGCACCAAGCAAACGCGCGCATTTAACAGTGCGCCAAATCTAGCGTACGCGCTGATTTCAGATTGCGTAAATTTATATAGTTCTATATTTCTTAAGACGCCATGGAAATCCTAGTTTAATTTTTAAATCCTCTTTTGATTTTAAATCCTTGTTTTTATATCCTATGGATTTAACAATTTGCGAAATGCTCTTGACGAAAAGTCTGCATTAGAATTTTGCAGACTTTTCAGTCAAGTGCAGAATCACCCACAGCTTGACGCGTTTTTAAGAATTGCACATAATTGCACCATCATGTTTGTACACGTCGAAAAAAATCCCAGAATTGCACAAAAATGGCACTGCGCACGCCCTTGACTTTATCTATGCACACATCGACCTATTTTCACTTAAAAAGTAAAAGAAAATTGACAAAAATCCAATTGTTTTTACCCTTATAAAAAGCGGCAAACAAATAAGTGGGCGATTCTGCACTTTACCGAGAATTTTTTCAGAGAAAAGGCATCATCCATTATAGAAAATTATGTTTGAACAACCAACGAGATGAACTTTTGCTTTAGCTATAACTCGGTAGCGAAATAGCGATGCAGGCATCCATTCAGTTATGTTTAGCAATTTTTATATAAATTATAATAATGATCTGGAATAGTTATTTACTCTTATGCTTCCATTCAGTCATGTTTAGCCTTTTTTATATAAATTATAATACTAAAACAGTATTATATGAAATTAACTTTTCATCTAAATTAAAACCTCAATCTTAAATAGTTATTTACTATTATACTTCCTTTCTTGCGTTAGGGTTGCCGCAATTATTTTTGGCAGCAATGGCATCAACAATAGTTTGGCGATTTTTGACAGCCCTCAAAACCGAATGGTACCATTTTTCCTTTCAGATCTTGCATTAATTTTTTACTTTCTCATCAGCACTACAGACTGTAGGCTTTTCTTAGTTTAAATTACGCATAATGCATGGACTGGAAAAGAAATTTCTAATATGTAGCTAACGTTGCGCAGCTGAGCAAACTAGCAAAGCTATTCATTAAATGTTTGTTAATTGTGGTATGCTTGCTTTAACATTTACGTTTTCGCCATTTTGATTATACTGAATCTAAGTGGCATTCTATAATATGATTTTCTTATATTTTAAAAGTATCCTTTTCAAGCATTGCGCCTTCCAGAAATAAAACGTACCTTCCTCATTCAAGCATTGGATATCGACACCTAAACAAGGGGAAGATAACTCTCCCTTATAAACGGGTAAGGAGTGGTCATGCCACATAACCGTCATCATTACTTCCGTGCTACCTAAAAAACAGAATAAAGAATTTATTAAATATTTGGAAAGATAATATTTGAACATAAAATTTATGACTACATTTTAAATTCATTTATCAATAACAAAAAACACGATTGCCTGTGTTAATATTTTCCTTATGTATTGTAATTCTAATTCATCTTAAATAAAAACTGATAACTGCTAATGAATCAAATATATATTTTTAATTACAAAACTTAACCACTAAATTTAATGTATCTAAATTTTACTTCCTCATTAAGTTCCTTCTTTACGTACACCTTGCATAAAAAATGAGACAGTTCTGAATTTCCTGTTCTACAGGCCCGATGGACGAACTTTTAAGTTGCGTTTTTCAGTCTCGAAAGCGTGACTTGGGACATTTATTAAATATATATAAAGTGTTTTTCTAACATAGGTATTCTGACACAAAATTGGACTTTTTTCCGAAATAACATACCTATTTTTTCCATATTTTAAGTCTGCGACTCAAATTATGTTATGTTAAAGTGCCAATCTTTGAAAAAAAATCGCGGGAGCAGTTTTTAAACAATTAGCTCCCAAAATTTTAGCTCCTCAGTGTTACTCGAATTTGGTATATATTTATTAGCAACTTTTTTTTTATTAAACTTACTTGATTCCCTCTTTCATAATTCGAAATTTAGGTTCAATTTAAATAAAATTCGCAGATATTTTCCAATTCCTTTTTAAAACTTGTATTTTTTAGGAAATTTTACAAATTTTTCGAAAACATTTTTGACATATAACCTACAAAGTTTTGCCATAACTTTAAAGTAGATGTATTTCTGGACGTATCCGCAACAAATTAGAGGGTTTTATTCAAAATTTCAAAAGATATGCATGAATTTATATATTGGAGCGTTTTGAAATTTCGCATAAATGTTATAAGTGATAATTACTCATAACAAACAACTTAAATTATTTCTAACAATGAACAATGCACCTTTTCTTTCGCTAGTGCACACTGGAAAGAGGAAAGCAGGTTGCTATAAATTAAGACTTTAGCTCAGTGAATTAGTCTTGATGTAAACTGAGAAACGTGCGTCAAGGTAAATTTTTTAATTCCTCGATACGTTTCTCACCAAGTTTTGCAAAATTTTATATTTGAGCGTATTTTAAATCGTAGAACTGAAATATGAAAAGAAAAATCGATATTTAATTTCGGAAAAAGTTCTCTTTGTTTAAAAAAAAATCCTGTGTTATACAAATGCGATATATAAATCACCAAAACAGTTGTTGCCAACTCTTTTTTCAAGCTACACAGTCTCGTTTTTATTTGTGTCCCACCTCGTATATAATAAAATTCAATCATCATTAAATTTGCTTTTTAAATTATGACAGTTAAATTGATGTATGGAGGTTCTTTTGCTTTCATACACCTTGTAATTTCGGAAGATTCAGACATTTTTCATCAAAATTTCGTATAGAAATGTAATATTTAAAGCCTTGTCCCTTTACAGTATAAAACTCCTGACTTGGAACTTGATTTAATGTTGTTACGTTACCTTTGTGAGTTAAATTATTGTTATTTGAATCAGCTTAATATTTACACTAATGGAAACTGAGCATTTTGAAATATTTCTGTTGCCGGTTTTTCTGACCTTTATCTGATAATAAAGCACGAACAGAATGCTATATTATTTGACACTCATTCTTGAAACAGTTTGTTTTTAGCATAGTGAAGATCTGTTCACAAAAAGGCCCTTTTGCTGCTGTTTCCGATGACTATTTGAAAGATAAATGACGAAGAAAAATTGTATATCTTTTGTATATTTATAGTATTAATAAAGTACATAATTGTATATTTATATACAATATATACAAAGAAAAATTATATATATAGTATGTAAATTGTATCTTTCTTCGAGTTATGGATTATTATTAATAACCATTTAAAATATAAACACCCTCTTCATACAAAATTTCAAATTGTATGATAGTCGAGTAAACGCCTAAAACATTAATGCGACTGATAACTAACTGTAGAGCAATTACTGAAAGCAGGATGGGCTGTTTGAATTATTGTCAAGATTATAAGGTTCCTCGTTGATAATTTATTCCAGAACTAATTCCATTTTTATTTTTTTGCATTTATATATTAAGAAGGGAATATTTAAATTTGAATAATAAACGAATAGAAACAGAAGAATTACGAAAGTAAAGTAATACAAATACGGCTAGCGAGATTGCGCTGAATTTTATTGAATAGACGAACAGCTATTTGTCGTTTAAGAAAGAGGGCCCACCAGCGGCCGAGCGGTAAAGTCGCTGCACACTGGTAGTTCGGTCCGAGGCTCGAATCCCGCGAACGGGCCGGCCGCATGGGTGTTTTCGTGGCTTTCCCCATGTGTAACGTGTATACGAGCCAGTTCCCTTAGAAAGTCCTCCACGAAGGCATCCCTCCCATTTAAGAAAACAAGTTTGGTTTGACTTAATTGCATCTTACTTGATTATCGCCCAACACATGTGGGCTATCTGCCTAAAGGGAGGATTACCGCTGCGTGTGACTTTTTTAAGGGAATTGACTCTTATCCACTTTTTAGATAGGGCAAAACTACGGAAATGCTCTTTTTCCTTCTTTGTACGAAGTGAAAGGGAAGTATTGCAATCGCGAAAAATTTCGGGTATCATATTTCAACGAAAAATATCCATTTTGACCGCTATCGAATGCAATTGAACGATTTTGTTGCGTGACATCTGCATGTAAGGACAGAAGAAAGGACTAGTTTTTTTTTTCCAAAAAAATTATAAAACTGATTTAAAATGGATTCTGAAGACATTTTTTCATTTAGTAAATCTGCATGCAATATTTTGAGAGTTATCAACAATTTAAAAGTTGTTTAAGTGCGGCTAAGCCTAATTATTTTTGCGATGGCGGCCATGTTTATTTACTGTTGAAACTTGGCAAAATAACGGATTTGTTGCCAATCTAGAGAAACTAAGCTTCGCAACAACAAAGATAACGCTTTCTTTCATTATTGGGAATTATATTATGCTCAATCCATTTTGGAATTATCATTTAAGTTATTAAATTACCCCATATATTGACTCAGCATAGTGCACACAACAAATTCAGTTTCAACACCTTCAATTACTTTTTGCTGAGTGAGACCAAAAGTAAACTTTCAGTTTTATGCACCGAAAAATCCGTCCTCTTGTCCACTGGCCGAATTGCGTGTTTTTGCGTAGAAACTGTAATTTTTAATTGTAAAAGTTGTTAATTTTTAATTTTCTTAGCTGTATTTGGTGTTTTATGTTTTTCTATATCTTGAAATTTTAATGAAGTTATTTGGTGTTTTTATTATTTTTGCCTTGCCGCGAAGTGAGAACTGAATTATTTCAATGAGAAATGCATCTCTAATGAAATTCCAGAAAATAAATGTTTCATAGTAACAGAAAATACTATCGTCAGTCTGTTTCGGACAGAGGAGAATGTTTACGAGTAGCGCATGCGCATTAGGTAAGCAGCACTGAATCGGCTGTGAAAAACTTTATTTTTTATTTGTTTAATTTCTTTTATACATCCTTTTAGATTTATTACTGTATTTGCATAAAACATGTGGCAACGATTAGATAATTCTTCAGATGATATATATTTTTTTTTGCATTCTGAGTTATAAAATGAATGAGATGTAACGCTGTTAAGTAAAGATAGCGCCAGAGTATTGCTATTGTAAATAAATATAGGGAATTTTAAAAAGTCCATTGATTCTATTGTGGTATATGCGCTATCAGCGAAGTATATTTAATTCAATTCAATAAGTTTAAATAAAATGTAGAAAAATTGCGCATAATTTAATATTCTGTACAAGGAAGTCATGAGGTGTACATGTCAGATTTTTTATTCTTGTGTACAACTGCATTGAATACAACTCAACCCCTATCCAGAATTATTTACTCTCTTAAGCATTTATCCTACACATATATTGTTTCCCTAGCGCTTTGTCAATACAGTGTACCATTGTTCGAAAACCTGGAAAAAAATCTTCGAGTGAATGACTTCAGAAGATAGGAGCATCGCACATGTATTTTTCAGTTTCTTTGTAAAGATAAGGGCGCGCGTTATATGGTGAATATACCTAAAAATTAATTAATGTAGTTTGGAATTACGGTAATATGCGATAGGTATTTATATTTATGTCTTAATCGTTGACGTCACTTACCCGTGGAAAATGACACGTGAAAAGTTAAAAGAATTAAAAGTACAGTCCTTTATTTCCCATTCGTTTTCCAAAAAGGACAAAATCGTCTTTTCTGCAAGCACAGTATGCTCGAAAATATGATATTTTGAAATATTGTCTGTAAGATTTAAATGAGCTAAAGTAAATTGCTCTAAGATCTATCTGTCTGAACAATCTAAAGTAAACTTTATAATTCAATAATTTTAAATTAAAAGTAAAATAAACAGTACGTTTTCATTTTAAAATAGCTTGAATTATTGCTACCAAAAACTGTAATTTAGACTTTGCATTTACGCAGTTTTAATATCAGAAATCAGAAGTGAAATGAAAGCTACTGTTATTTTATTTATGCAAGAAAATTCCTAATTTACAATCGTTGTTCTTCTTAAATCCATGTAATAATAAAGAAAGCCATCAGTTATTCTATTCTTAAATTTTTCTTAGAATACAGAATACAGATTGCGTTTCACAGTTACACACATTTTACACGAAGTCACAGTTAAAACATTCGCTTTTGTAAAATAATCTCTCCTTTGAAGATTTTGATGGATAATGGAACATCTGAAGAAAAGAGAAAGAGCACCTGATCGAATTAAAAGAATAAAGGATAACTTACCGTAAAGAGCATGATAAAGTACGTCTTTTTTCACTTTTTTATGGAATTCAAAATTCTGGGGCTTGACGACACTTCCACCGCTCATTATCGCTTTAAGTGAACTCAGGTTATGTTTCTCCGCTGTGAAATAAATTATAAAATGTTAAATTTATGAATCTTAAGTTTATAAATCTCAAGATGTATAAAGCAGCTACTCTCAACCTTTTGACTAAAGTGTACCATTTAAACAAAAAAACGTTAGTACCACCACTACATTTTACAATAATTATTTTTCAGTTTTTCAATACAAATGTTAAAAAACATACATTTTGCCATTTGCACAACCTATTGGCTATTTTTATTAAATATGCACATAAAAAATATCAGATTAAAAATTGGTTATACTTTGATTATCAAAATTTAAATTATAATACTTTAATCCCAAAATTTAGTACGAAATTTAGGCCTGCTTAGGAGAGAACAGTTTCTTTATGTCTGATCTTATTTCATTTAGTTTTAACTGTAAATTAGAATAAACTTTTACTTTTGTTCTCTATTTATTTTTCAAGTATAACGGGGCAGAAAATCATTGTTCACACAAAAAGGTTATGCAAAAGGCAATGAAAATTTAATAGCTTTATTTTGAAATACTTTAAAATTATTATTCTTCGAGTCAGCCAAATTTAACAAGTGCTTTTATTTTTCCTTTTAAATCTTTAGTTAGAGTTTGATCACACGAAATTTCTATCAATTATTCTTTTTCTTCACGACATAGAATTTCAGGTACATTTGAGCAAAATGAATTTCTAATCCAATTTCCTTTTTCATAATCCTTGGGAAAATACTTGTTAAAATTAATTACCAATGAAAAACAATAATTTTTAATTTCGGACACTAATTCTCTATTTTCAAATTGTTTCTGTTAGAAGACTTTCTAATAGTGGTAAAAAGCTTAAAATATTATTATCCAATTCTTTGATTATAAGCTGGAGTTTTTTTATCACTGCCTTTATTTTATATCTAATGGTAGACAAATTAACACTTTGTCCTTGTAATCCTAAATTTAATTCATTTAACCTTTAAAAAATGTCAGCTGAATATGCTAACCGAGGCCAACCATAATTTACTCAACATTTTTTCAGTTCCAAATTTTGGAACAGTAGAAAATTTGAATTTCTGATCGCTGTTCAAAAAGATGATTTAAAACTTTGGCCGCTGAGTTATGTTATATTTGACCTTACTTCATAATGTAACAAAACCGTTTGATGTTCACGTCCCATCTTTTGGCATAAAATCGTAAATATTCTTGAATTTAAAACTCGGCTTTTAATATAATTAACAATTTTTACAGCTTTATTCAAAACGGTTTTCAGGTTTCCGAGGATTGTTTTGGCTACTAAAGCTTCAAGAATTGAGGAACGAGTAAACTTTGTTTCATGGGCGACTTTCTTTATCTGAACACCGGAATATTTCTCCTGTTAAAGACTGAGCATACCACAGCGCACTTATTCCAAGGAATATCGTTCTCAGACAACAAAATTGTCAATTACTTTGAAACTTTCATTTGCAGTTCCTCTGTCATGAAGAGATTCATAAAATAAATACTCTTCGGCAATTCTTTTGTCTTCTTCGGTGCGTATCTAAACTAATGATTGAAGAAAGTTCGTTATATCAGTACTTTCATCCAATTGCAACACGAAATACCTAAACTGTGTTTTATTTTTTGAATACGTATGCCTTTGGAATTTGCCATTTCACGAATTCGTCGACTTACTGTATCATTTGTTGACGAAATATTACACAGACTGGCCAATGAATTAGACACCTTTGAGATTTTCATTTAAATGCTTGCTAGGGATAAAGTTTGCAAATTATTTTTATGTGTTACACGTGGTTAGAATGCTATTATAAGTAAGCTGTTAGAGCGCTTTTCACGATGAATGAAATAAAATGGGAAAAACAACAGATCTTTCGGCTCATTGTTGGTGCGGTTTAGCAGGGACCTCGATTTCTAAGACAGCAAATCTTACTGGGTTCTCTAAAGCAGCCATATTAAAAGTTTTCAGAAGCTGGAATCAGAACCTCAGTCCTTCTCTAGAAGACGTAATAGCAGTTTCGAGCACAGTTTTCCAAGAGAGTGATCGGCGTCGTCTCCGACGAATTGTGCTACAGAATAGGGACTCTACTGTGCTTCAACTGACACAGATCGTCAACCAAGGCTCTTCCCAACAGATTTCAGCTCGAAGCATGCGCAGAATTGCAGAGTCGGATGGCCTATGGGAAAACCACTCATTTCTGCCTGACATGCAAGAATTCGTTTGCAGTGGTGTCGAGAAAGAAGACACTGAATATCTGAGGATCTGAGGATTGGAAACAGGTAATGTGGTCGGATGAATCACGGTACACCTGAGTTTGCACGGCTGGGAGACTTCGAATTTGGCGAGAAGCCATGAGGCCACCTTGCCTTCCTCGCACTGTGCAAAGGCCTGGTGGGAGTATCATGATACTGGACATATTCTGGTGGCATGGAAGGGATACCCTTGTATTCCTCGAGAGTAAACAAACAGCTGTGAGATACCCTGGTATATTGGCAGATCAAGTGCCCCTGCAAAGTTGCATTTTTACCCTGATGGCGACGGATACTTCATGGAGGATAACGTAACTATACATAGTGACAGAAGATGTTAAAGTTTATGTAGCTGGTCACGAGAGGGTTCAGCTTTTTTATTTTTAGCTTGTTATATTTTTCTTACTGCATTGCGGATTTTTGATATATATGTAGTGGCAACCAGAGAAAAATGATGAACATTTTAATGTAAGCACACAATTGTTGCACATAGCCGTAAATAAAGTTTCTGTGTGAAAACCAAAATGGAAAAGAGTTCCAAGCGTTCCTGTGGATATTCATCAAGAAAGGTAAGCAAAAAATCCCTTATCAAATGTTGTTAAATGTAAAAAATAAGAATAAGTAAATGCAAATAAGAAAAGAGATCATGAATTGCAACAGAAGTGTTTAAAATTGGTTTGCTGAACATCAGTCTGATTCCAACACCTTCAACGGACACCGCATATGCGTGGGATATGATGGAAAGATGTATCCGACAGCACTCTCCTCTTCCATTTGTAAGGTTCATCTTAAGTTTTTAACAGTTATCTTTGTTAAAGCTACTTCTCTCCTAACGTCAGCTTACAATTTCCCACCAGAATGTGTTTTTAAAATCGCAGTTAATGCAAACGAGGAAGAGCGGTATTTAAGTAGAAGTTCCACTGACTTCCTTAAAGAGCCAGGGATTCTGACTAGCACGTGTTTGTCTTTTGACTACACTCTCCATAAGCTATTACTACGTTCGACCGTATATCAGGCCCTTGATAGCTTGGCCAGTTTAGTTGATATTTAAGGGCCAATTCCTTAGAATTTCGATAGCTTCGGCTATATCTCTTTAGTTAAGTTTTATTTCTTAGTACTCTTGAGTTCAAGACCAAGTGGAAGCTTTTTTTATTTCGAGAAAAAAGGGTAATTTATTCTTCTTGAGTTTACGTTTCTGTTCCTGAACTAAAGCGATTACTCGCTTATCAGTTTACGAGGTTCCTACACACTTAGGTGTTATATCAAGGTTGGAACCCCACATTTGGCACCCAAACAAATTTTGACAAACTAGGCCGTTAGAGAACGAGAAGTTTTCATTAACCTCTCCAACCTTTCTGGTCCCTCAAACTTCAGCAAGCTCGATGGAGGGATTCGGATTCATAGTGGATACAATGCGAGCGGCAATGAAGGTAGCCCCAACATTCGACGGCAAGGGCTTCGTGATGACTTTCCTCGAGCGGCTGAAATTACATTTTACGTTATATCCAGTAAACCAGCTGCAAAAAATTACCATTACTACTACGAATTCGAAAAGCCAAACTCTCAGCTGGTATAAAGGATTTGGCAAGTTTTTGTTGAAGAAACCAGGTTCGAAAAATTTCACTTGGGAAAATTTTAAAACAGTACTATTGAAAACATTCCCATTTGTGAAAGACCGCGCAAAGCTTGAAGCGGAATTGTTCAGCAAGTATCAAACCAATTTTGATGATTTAATGGATTTCAGCTTAAGGAAAATTCAAATTTCCAATTCACTATGTAGAGACATTAGGATATTTTTTGAAACAAGAGAGATGAAAAATTAGCAACGGCTTCGCCGGGAATCGAAACTCGGATCTCTGGAATACCGGCCCCTCGTGCAGAACCACTTCACCGAAAAGGCACGCTAGAAAGGCGGGAGAAATACCTTATAACTATATGGAAAACGGTCGGATAGAGAGCTTATTGAATTAATATTGCCGCGTCTACTTCCGTCAATCCATAACTTTCTCGAAGTCGGAAACCCGCAAACGTTGGAAAACCTATTCCAATTAGCAGTAAAATTTCAAAGCAGACGAACCGCAGAAAACGAGCGTGCAAGTCATTTCCGCCAGTATTCGATGTTTCGCCAGTTCCCCCCCCCCCGCAGAAGAAACCTCAAGGTCATCAGAATTCGTATCGTCAAGCGGAGAAAGGTGGAAAATCAGATAACAGAAAGACTGATCAGTCTAAAACATTCGGAAATAAAAATCAACAGAAAGAAGGAAATCAAATTGAACGCGGTAGTGGTACTAAATTTGTCCTTGCCGGAGATCCATATTTTACTGAATGGTGTTCCTACTACTGCCCTTCTCGATACAGGAGCTCAGTGTAGCTTCCTTTCGCAGGAATTTTTTAAAAAGCATTCTTGTAGCTTTAGACTGTTTAAAACAACAAAACAAAGGGTAATTGCCGCTCAAGTTAAGCAATGCATCTGCATGAGAAAAATGGGACTGCACGGTCAAATAAAGAACGAAATGCATAAAGTGAACTTTTTTGGTAGTAAAACAATTTGTTTAGTCATCTTGAAAGTCGATTTCTTACGCGCATCTAGCGCAAATCGTAATTTCAAGAATTCTACTTTACAATTAAACATGGACGCTGTTGAAGAAAAAGAGGGGGCAATGCAAGAGGTGGATCTCAATCATCTCGAAGAAGACGAAAGAAAAAAGTCGAAAGAATGGTAAGAAGTTTTATAAATTATTCGACAAGAAACCTGGCTTATGTCAGGTGGTTACCCAGAGCATTGATACTGGTAATGCCCCTCCAGTTCGGTCTAAGCCTTATAGGTATGACCGCGTAAAGGAAGATAATCTGGGAAAGCGCATAAAAAAGCTTGATAGTAAAATAATTGTGCCAAGCACCAGTCCCTATGCGATTCCTGTGACTATGACTGTGCAGGAAGAAAAATAGTTTACCACTCGCAGACCCGAATTCATGGAGGTTCGCGGTCTATTACTAAAAGTTAACGAAATACCCCACGTATCCCCTCCCGATAATTGATGAAATTATTCAAAAAATTCATTCTACTAAATTTATGACCACACTAGACCTGACGTCAGGCTATTTTCAGATCACAGTGAAACACCAGGTTGTCGAAACGACAGCTTTCATTAAGAAATCGGGCGTTTATGCCTTTTTAACAATGCCGTTTGGCTTACGAAAGCTCCGGCTACATTTCAGAAGGGTATGGATATGGTTTTAAGGCCAGTTCTAGGCAAAAGTACAATTATTTACCTGGATGAAATTATAATTACCAGCCAGACGATAGACGAACATATTAAACATTTAGAGGAAGTTTTTACTTTGTTAAATGAGGCCGGCTTCAAGGTAAACTCGAAAAGTGCAAGTTTGCTGCCAAGGAGCTTCGGTATTTGGGTTATAAATTCTCAAAAAATTGTTTCGAGATCAACGATTCTAAAATCTTAGCGATTAAGAGTTATCCACCTACAAACACGGCTGTGATATCTAGTCAGCTTATTGGCCAAAATATTGTCTTTTAGATCCATAGGGGAATGGGTTGATGATTTTTTTGGCTCGAAAGTCATATTTTCTGTCACTCAAGTATTAATTTCTCGTACACTGTTCCTAGCGCAGATAAAAGAGAGGATTGATCAACAGTAGTTTATAAGCCAAATTTAGCAAGTGTATTTTAAATATATTTCTAGAACATATTAAAACATTCTAGTTACTTCAGCTTTGTGTTCCTTCTACCTCCCTATCTTCACTGCTTGAAATTCCTGATCACGAAAGAATAAATCGATGAGAAAAAATTAACATTCATGAAAAAGAAATGAATTTCATTCATCTCACTGAGTAAGTATTTTACAAGCCCTTACCGAAAGAATTCAGGTAAAGATTTACCGAGAAGAGCAAAACATTTGATTCAAGCAAATGTAACTGTCCTATAAATGTTCTTTTACAAAAACATTTCTTGAAAATAAAATTTTATCATAAATTTAATTTTTACTTTATTGTGTGATTATGGCAAAGCCTCGAGGGCTATCTGCCTAAGGGGAGGGATGCCTTCGTGGAGGACTTTCTAAGGGAAACTGGCTCGTATACACGTTACACATGAGGAAAACCACGAAAACGCCCATGCAGCCAGCCCGTTCGCGTGATTCGAACCTCGGACCGAACTACCAGTGTTCAGCGACTTTACCGCTCGGCCGCTGGTGGGCCTTTACTTTATTGAATTCCTATTTTACATATCTATCTCTATATTCATCTCAAGTAAATGTATATTACCCTACATTTTTCATTATTTTACCTATAACTTTTCTTTCAATCTAAAAACTCGCTTGACTGACAGAAAATCTCACAATACATAGAGTTTCTTTAAATTTTGTACGAAATCTAAAATCTTCTTTGAACGCTGTCTAAAAGCATTGTTAACACTATTTGGTGAATCTTTACATTATGGTAACGTCGCGATTTTTTGGCGAAAATTTGGCGACCAACCTTGCTACAGCAACCTGCTAGTTTTGTTTTGGACGCCATTTTGTTTTCACGAAGTAAAGGTATGTTTTCTTTTTTTTTTACTCAACATTTTTTCCAACAATCTGCTAGCCGAATTACGCTTATACTAGAACTTTTATGGAACAAAAATGCTTAATCATAACGAAGATTAGGGAGAAAGTGCAGAATCGCAAATTGCTTGCCGCGTTTTAAGAATTGCTCATATACTGTAACCATGTACACGTCGACCTATTTTCACTCAAAAAAACATCCCAGAATTGCACAAAAATGGCATTGCGCACACTCTTTACTTTATCTATGTACACATCGACCTATTTTCACTTAAAAAGTCAAAGAAAATTGACAAAAATCCAATTCTTCTTACTCTTGTAAAGAGTGCCAAACAAATAAGTGAGCGATTCTGCACTTAAGCAGCGAAATTGTTTCTAAATGCTTAATAGCTAAAAAATTACGATTGAAAGTTTCCGGAAAATGTCACATTACATGTCTCATGATCTTTCATTTCTCTGAGACAAAATAATCTGTGATTTGAACTGTTACTTCACAGATTATTGCTGAAGTCCTAGCTAGTAACCTTCATCGCCTTACCAAAATGTCGCCAAACTACCTGTTACCATATTCTAAAAATTAGCCCACTATTTTAATATTTATGAAACTTAATTTCAGAATTATTGTTGCTCATTTTATTTAATATTAGTAATTGCACAAAAATTACTTCATAGTCATTCATGAATAGAATTATAGAATAGAATGAAAGAATTATACAAATCAAATTACATTCAATATTAAATGTTGAAATTCATGTAAGTTTTTTTATCATATAGAAGTTTTATATTTAAATCGCTAAATATAGAGCACCATATTTTTAAACAGATGCTTATAGGATATAGGGAAATTATATTACTCGGTAGATATCCTTTCCTCTCCAAATCATCTAGAATACCAGGCGAAATGAAAAAGGTGGGTGATTTTCAAATCGTCTACCAAGTCCCACAAAAACGTTGGACTAAGAAGGTAAGGATTACTTTCGAACAATATGACTGTATAACCAAGGAAGTGTAGAGCAGTGATCATACACCATGAAACCCATCCTACCTGCAAGAAGAGACACTTTTAAATTCAGAACCACGTCGCGTTAATATTGTTTTGACTCGAAATCTAACTTCGTTTAATATCCAATTTATTTCACTTCACAAACACATATAAATTAATGCGGCTATTTACATGTAGAGTTTAGTATAATGATCAAATGATCCGTATATCTTAATAATGAAAGTATTTAAGTAACGTAACTTATCTGCTGGTTACTTTTAGAACGTTCCGATCACAACACTCCAAAACAAAATTGGTTGCCAGATTCATACATCAAACAAAATTAAAAAACAAATTAAAACAAACAAAATTAAAAACAAAAAAGGATATAGGGAAATTATATTACTCGGTAGATATCCTTTCCTCTCCAAATCATCTAGAATACCAGGCGAAATGAAAAGGTGGGTGATTTTCAAATCGTCTACCAAGTCCCACAAAAACGTTGGACTAAGAAGGTAAGGATTACTTTCGAACAATATGACTGTATAACCAAGGAAGTGTAGAGCAGTGATCATACACCATGAAACCCATCCTACCTGCAAGAAGAGACACTTTTAAATTCAGAACCACGTCGCGTTAATATTGTTTTGACTCGAAATCTAACTTCGTTTAATATCCAATTTATTTCACTTCACAAACACATATAAATTAATGCGGCTATTTACATGTAGAGTTTAGTATAATGATCAAATGATCCGTATATCTTAATAATGAAAAACATTCAGTATTTAAGTAACGTAACTTATCTGCTGGTTACTTTTAGAACGTTCCGATCACAACACTCCAAAACAAAATTGGTTGCCAAATTCATACATCAAACAAAATTAAAAAACAAAGGATTAAATAATAATGAACAGGAAATGCTAAACTTAATACGAGTGGCAACAAATGTAATACTTTTCAATGTTACCTTTACATATGACTGACAAATCATCAAATATTAGTTTAGAAAGTTTGTATTCATGTGCTCATTCATTAAAGTTACCTCTACGTGCTGGCGAATTGTTGATTTCTATTAAAATGTATTGCTACACAAGGTACAACATAAAAAGATGAAAGTTAATATATAATTTTATTTTTCATGTGCAGTGAGATTTAAACTCAAAAAAAAACTTTTCACCTCCGGTGCTTCAGCTTGCTGGAACTTTAAATTAGCTGGGATACAACTCTAATAATAATACTTACTCAATGTGACAGACAAAGCTTAGTTAACATTTACATGATCGTGACCAAGTCAGAAATTCGAATCAACTTTGAACAGCGGCTCTTCCTAGGCAAAGCAACAGCGGTGGCAGCAGCCAAACTTTTACCAAGGTCATAAGATAGATAAGGTTATGCTCTTTCCAAAGCTCGAATTGAGTGACTTCACTTTACGTACAGAACTAAGAGAAACGAAAATATAGTTACGTCTAGGTCTCCAATAGAACAGTTGCTTTGGGACAGACTATGAAACCGTGACGTCACATGTTCAAAGATTTCTGTTTGGGATGTGCAAACCTTTGTAGAGACATTAGGTTATTTTGAAGCAGGAGACATAAAAAATGAACAATGCCCTCGCCGGGACTCGAACTTAGGACTCTCGAATACGCAGACTGTGCTAACCATTACACCACGAAAGCATACCGAAAGGAGGAAGAAGGTACCTTATATGCTCCCCCGTTTAAAAGGTGACATAGGATTAGGGACCCAATCGCCAAATTCTGGTGGTGAAGAATCATCATTCACCACCTTTTAGTTCAAGTGCTACTGTAGAGATATTACGTTTTTTTTTTTTTTTTTTTTTTTTTTTTTTTTTTTTTTTTTGTGTGGGGTGGTATGTGTGGTGGTGTATTTAATTATAGCAAAGCACACTAGGGCTATTTGCCTAAGGGAAGGGATGCCTTCGTTTAGGACTTTCTAAGGGCAACTGGCTCGTATACACGTTACACATGGGGAAAACGACGAAAACACCCATGCAGGCAGCTCGTTCGCGGGATTCGAACCTCGGACCTAACTACCAGTGTTCAGCGACTTTACCGCTCGGCCGCTGGTGGGCTTTTTTTTTTTTTTTTTTTTTTTTTTTTTTTTTGGAAGCGGGCGATGTGAAAAATGAACAATGCCTTCGCCGGAACTAGAACCTGGACCTCTCGAATACGCGCCAAGGGTGCTACAGTTACATCACGAAGGCATGCCGAGAGGAGGGAGAAACCACCTTATATTACAGTAACCTAGCCTTCTACGAATCATGTCAGTTACATTTTTTCTTCTCATTTTAACATAAACTCTTGCGAAAAAAAATCATCGTAAAGGTCTGCACTGAATGCTTGACGAAATGAGACATGTAAATGATCTATTTAGTATTATAAATCTAACTGTTATTAAAACTTAAATAAAATATAGCAAAATTGTTTTAGGATTATAATCAAGGAAATGTTATGACTTGTACCGCAAGTTCATAGCAATAATTTTCAATGTCGTATCGTTAATTTATTATTTTTCTATTATTTTGATAAAAATTGTAACTTAAAAATTCGCACGTAAAAGTACTTTATAAATTCCAAAGAATGGAAGATACTAAATTTTTATAAAGTTCGCATGTAAAAAATGGAGTCTTGTAATTTAAATAACTCAAATAAAATTTTTAAAGTTATTCAATTATTTTATTGGTATAATAACGTAAATTCAGTATGAAGGAGAGCAAAAACTACAAGCAGTTTTTTGTTGAATATTTCTAGTTCGTACAATATTTATTGATTATTAACTTATTTGCTTTGAACAAGGAAATACGTATCTTAACAAACATAAAACTTCTCGTAAATATATTTATTTAATTTAGAATTTAGTATCGGAACATATCTAAAAACTAATTGAAAAATAAATAACTTTACATGTACTTCGAAGAAGTTAAATCAATTTAAATATGAGGACAAAGAAATTTGATATTGTCTTACCGCTGAAAAGGAGAGCCAAACCGTATCTCTATCAAGGTTACCATACATCCCACAATCCCTTGCAGTAGATAACAGAATCTAAAATCATAAAATATAATTTAGAGAACATATTTTACGGGATAAAAACACTTACTTGATATTTCTATATTACTTCTGCAACAAAAGTGACCTAAATGATTCAAACTCACCTTCTTATAACCAGGGCTGTGGAGTCGGAGTCATACATTTGGAATCGGAGCCGAGTAGATTTTTGGGTATAAGCTAATATTTTTATTTATTTAATATATACATTAATAAATAGTTATTTTCCATTTTATTGACATAGTAGTAAATAAATATAAGGGAGTAGGATGGACGTAATATTTGCCATTATTGATTAAACTTATTCATTTATTTACTAATCTCATTGGTGGATTTTAGTAAGCAGCAAGAACTCCCAAAATGGATGCCATGCTTAGGAAGCAAGCAGGAAAAGGAGCAACGCAATGGAGAAGTATATATTTAATGTTATAGTAGTTGTTAGGACTAATAACGTTTTCAGAAGATGTAAATAATCCTAATATTTAACTAACAGAAAGACTGTGGAGTGATCTTGCAGCATTGGGAACTCTTCTTTCTATACGTATATAGCCACCAAAAAGTAACAATCTGAAGAATTAACAAGAGGCAAGACTGGAAGAATGTGGTGTTTTTTCTTTCTGAAAGGGAGTGTTTGTTGCAGAAGGAATCATTTCTTCAATGAAGAAAAGAGAAACTGCTTGCTAGACAATAAGATTGTGCTGGGTTTAATATATGTTGATCGAAAACGCCGAATTTTAACAAACAAATTAAAAAGGCAAAGAAATCCATCTATGAACTTTCATTAAGAATGAAATTATTCTCATAATAACTGGAATACTCAAATCAGGACAGTCAAACTGCAGATATTTCAACCGAGTCTCTATCTTTCTCTTCCACTGGTGAATCAGATTTTGAGATATATTGGGATAATATTGAAAAGGCTAAGGCAAAGCGAATGAAAATAAATAACCAAGAGCCTAAGATATAAAAATGAAAAAATACAAACAAAATTTATACACGGCCTTTGAAGAAATAGATAAATATGATTGCGCTTGCAAGACAAATCTTTTAGAACTTATAAAAATCTATCCGGAAAAGTTAAAGGAAGTAGCCCTATCAGTAACAGCTCTTCTTCCTGCTTAAGTCAGTGTGGAGAGACTCTTCTCAGTTCTGAAGTTTATCAAATCGGATCTATGACCCTCTAACAAAAAAGATCTTGCCGAAGTTTTACTGTTTTTTAGTAATCACTAATGGCAGTTTTTCCATTTCATAATAAATGCTAATTAATATAAAAAAAATTTGCTATGCATCTATTTTTTTCTGTAGTATCTATTACTACTTTTACATTAAAAAAATAAGCTGTACCCATGTGTATATGTTTACATTATATATGAAGGAGTTGGAGTCATTAAATTCCAGGAGTCGGAGTCTGTCATTTTTCCTACCGACTCCACAGCCCTGGTTATAACTACATAACACAAATAGCTTAGAATGTAAATTATATTGATTTCTTACTTGATTCTTTATTTCTTGGCATGATATAAATTGAAATGTTAAAACATTGGTCATATCCAGCTACTTCATGCCCTTGGATAAATAAGACTAGCTAATGTACTATGAATCTCAACAACGTGCTGGAAATGTTACTAGAGTATAATGATTTTAAAAGCCTTGCTTGTTGCTTTGGGTTCAAATATTTAGATTATCACAAAGGGAGGCTGTACGATGAAGGCTATTAAAGTCTATCTGATGAAGGGAAGGGATGACTTTATAGAACATTTGTAAGAAAACCTGGCTAATATTCACATTACACATGGATAAAACCATGAAAATGCCATCCAGCTAATCAGTTCGCTACCATTTGAACCTGCATCAAGCTTCCGGTGTTCAAAACTAATATTGGATGTTAATGTAGGACATTTAGTGAGGTCTGCGTAATGATTCTAGTAAATGCTTTGTAGGGTTTAAATCCCGCAAATCGCAGGGGACTGTGGTATACTTATAAGTCAGAAGTCGGTTCCTTTATAAAGTATTTCTCCCGCTTTCCTAACGTGCCTTCGTGGTCTAGTGGTGAGCACACTGAGCCGGTATTTCAGAGGTCCGTGGTTCGATTCCCGGCGAAGGCAGTTGCATATTTTTCATCTTTCTGGCCTCCGAGTAAATCGTAATGTTTCTACAGTGGCTCCCGAACAAAAAAGGGTGTTGGATGATGATTCTTCTCACCCAGGATTTGGCGACTAGGTCCTCTAAAACTCTAGTCGCCCTTTAAAAAGGGGAGTATATAAAGTATTTCTCCCGCTTTCCTAAGGTGACTTTGGTGTAATGGCCAGCCCACTGAGCCGGTATTTCAGAGGTTCGTGGTTCGATTCCCGGCGAAGGCAGTTGCATATTTTTCATCTTTCTGGCCTGCAAAAAATCCTAATGTCTCTCCACCTTAAGCCACTATTTTATTATTTATAAATGGGATTGTCAGCCACATGGGATAAAGCATCCCTATAGGAAAACACAGGAATTAGATAACGTGATACAAGGCACAAATTATCTGCCGAAGATGTGGGATGTCTTCCTAAAGGGTATGTTAAAGGAAATTTTTTTCGTTTTTATGTTACGTGCTTATGTTTCGTTTTATGGTCAAAATTAAGTAACCAGTCTATTTACTGGATTTAACTTCTGGCTAAACTACTAATGATAAGCGATTATACAGGTATCTTTATCACGAAATGTTTTAAATCACGAAGATTTTCATTATACATATATGTTTCTTAGTTTATTGAGACAAAATAAATTCAATGAGATAAACGTCTTTTACAGCGGTCTTTTACAGTGAGTCTTTTCACAGCGGTGTTGAAGATCGATTCTTCGTGGTAAAGCAGAGTTCGGGTAGTCTAATCCTTTCAGTTCATACTTTGGGACACTATAACTTCTTTACTCTCATTTCGATTTTCAATTATGAGTAATAGATATAACACGTATCGCTGATTAATCGTACATGCTTATCTGAGATACTTTGCAAACAACGTTCTACAGCGACATATTCATTAACAGAATTTGATTTCAGTATTAACGTTAACTTTTTATCAACTCACCCCTGAGCCAGCATACAAGGCCTTAGGTGGTCCTGTAGTGCCTGAAGTGTAAATAATGAACACAGGATGTGAGAATGATACTTGTTCGAATATTAAAGGTGCAACAGTGCCATCAGCTTCTCTGCCCAGTTCAAGAAATTCATCTAAGAAACAGCTGTAACAAAAGAGGATAATAATATTAATAGTAATATATCATATTAATATTAATTTAATAAATACAATATTATAATTTCATTCATAGAAAGTAAATTAAAATTTTAAATTATACAAACTTTTAATATTAATATTATATTGTTATGGCATGTCATTTTTCACGACCAACAGCTGGCGCTGCACGCCGTTTGATAGACCTGCTTTGTGAAAAAACGCAGGCGAGGTCTCCATGAAAACAGAAGATGCGTAAGATGTTAACATAAGAGTGCATCAGACATCGGATAGAAATTTAGACAGTTCTAACAACGGATTTTACCTATACTTTCGCAATGGAGTATGCTAACCATCTTGACTTCTGGTGAGAACATTTACTATTATATCATTTGCCACATTTGCTTGGGCAGATTAGGCTGTATTTTATCATAGAGCAAATCGAGGATTTAGAAATCTTAAAAAAAAATATGCAAGGACCCGAGTTTTATTCCAAATCAGTAATCTATCCAGCAAGCACGAGATCGGCTATATATTAAAGGCATACTGATTAAAATCAACCCCGAATCTACCGAAGAGAATTTCAAACGTCTGAAAGAAATAACCGACGATTTACATGCCATAGATGCTCTTCTATCAGAATTGAAGAAAGTCTAACGAAAGCAGCGATGCTGCACAAAACCAGAAAGGCATTGACGCTGTGATCAATAAGCAGGAAGATAGAATGAATAACATATCTAAATCCAAAAAAATCCCATAAAAAGAGAGCCATCACCGACAGCGAGAAATTTACTTCCCCTTGTAATTCATTCAAGCGGCACAATTTTGAATCCAGAACAGGCTGAACCTGAACCAAAAAAAGTTTTTCTGAATTAAATCAAGACGATCATATGGAGGATGATAACGCAGATGAAACGAATCCTACACCCGCCACAAAAATTACTAGTCATATTCTACCAATAATACTTGATGATTTTAGTGCCAATTGCAAAACACTAAAATAAGAAATAGAAAATAATGGAAAACGTAATTATAAAGTAAACATGAAAGGTGATACTCTCACCGTAAGAGTTTACGACAAAGATCATTATCGTCTTATAACGAAACTGCTTTAAACACGTAAAACATGAAAGGTGATAATATTCATAAACTCTTACGGTGAGAGTATCACCTTTCATGTTAAATAAAGTAAACATGAAAGGTGATACTCTCACCGTAAGAGTTTACGACAAAGATCATTATCGTCTTATAACGAAACTGCTTTAAACACGTAAAACATGAAAGGTGATAATATTCATAAACTCTTACGGTGATAGTATCACCTTTCATGTTAAATAAAGTAAACATGAAAGGTGATACTCTCACCGTAAGAGTTTACAACAAAGATCATTATCGTCTTATAACGAAACTGCTTTAAACACGTGGAGTGTTTTTCCACAGCTATAAATTAAATTCAGAAAAACTATTAAAGGCAGTTATAAAAATATTCCTCAAAACAGCAACACTGAAGCAATTAAACAAGAACTTCTCGAAAAAGGAATCCCGGTACTCAAAGTCAGGCAAATTACTAGCGTAAGAGACGGAAATATCATCAATTTACCGTTATTCCAAATGCAAACGCTCAATTCGAAAGCAAAAAAATCTATGGTATTAAAACTATAAAACGTCTTGACATCATTGCTTCTAGTTACACATTAATACTGGGTTTCGTGCAGTGCCATAAGTGCCAAAGTACGGCCATACAACGAGATCTGCGCCATTACTCTGTCAGATCCCTTAAATGTGCGAAATATCACGAAATGCAGTGGAGACCACATCATCGTAAAAAGGCTGCGTCAAACATCACAAAACTATCTAAAAGCCATAGAATTAGCAAAAAATAAAAAAGACATCTGCAAAAAAAAACAAAAAATAACTAAAAAAATTCTAACTTAGAAAGTGAAGATTTTCATCCCCCCCCCAGGTGCTAGAGAACAGGAGATCCCAGACACTTCCACCGCTTGATATAGAAAGAAATTAACCCATAAAGACCCTCATAAAGAAAAATGATGTTTCATTTTTAGACTAGATAAAAGCCCAGTTGAAAAAAAAAAAAAATTAAAAATTCTTTATGAAATTTAAAATAAGGTGCAAAATCTTTTTTAATCCAATGGCAGGTCGTCAGCCGACTTCAGCTTAACCACTAACTAAGGCCAAAGTGGTGGTCACTTTATTATGGAGGCACATAAACGGTGAGCCACCTTTTCCTCCTATGAAGGGACGGACAGTTACAACCATGCCTTCTCCGTGATTCGAGCCCTGGCTCTTTGGTATCGTAGTCGGTTCCCCGTACCACTATACCGTCTGGACGGCTAGCTGCAAAAACTATTATGGAGAAATTAGAAGTAGGCATAACTGCCGTTGATTACTTTTCCAATCTTAATTTCGACTTTTAGTCATAACTGTAATAAGCTGCACTTGAGTAAACAGGCGTTCTGTTTACTCAAGTGCAACTTTTACAGTATTAATAAAATTATTACTCAGTATTACAATACTTATTCATCTTCATTTACCAAGATTAATGAGCATGCGAATTTGGGGCTCGAACATCGTATACCTAACACTTATGGTGGAGTTGTATATACCTATTTAATCAAGGTTTATTATTTTCATTTCATTTATTTACTACTTCATGAGTCTTGCAAAGAATGGACTTTGTTATTAAACTGGGGAAAAGCTATTACTTAAAGTTAAATGCAATTTTATCGTAAAATTTACCTGTTTTTTATTTTGCTGATGTCTTTCAATTTAGAACATTTTTTCGATGGTACTATGATGACTTTTTCAAGAGAAGGCAATCCTGTAATGTGAAGAAATAACTATTGTATATCAAAGGTAGAATTTCAATTTTTTCTTATAATATTATCGCTTAAACATTTTGAAAAAAAAATGTTAAAGCTTTCGAATTTTATGTTATGACCATAATATAAAACGTGTGTTAAACGTTCACAAACGTATAAAACGTTTTTGAACGTTTTGTGTGTTACCTTTATTTATTAAATATCACGTTCTTCGCACTTAAACCATAAAAATTCAGTTCCGTAGTAATATCACAAAACAATTTAAAATGAACATATCTTTAGAATTTTAGATGCACAGTCTCGCGCGCTGGAGATAAAAATTTTACTATTTTTTTTTCCATACGGTGCCACAGTTGCTCGCTTTGAAATGGTTAAGTTTGTTAACCAAAAATTCGTTAAAGGTTTGCAAAATTTGAAATTGATAATAAAAAACAGATGCCCATATTCGAGTAGAGGACTACATTATTAAAAATTTGATGTCTCTAGGTACCGTTTCTTTTTCACAATGCGAGAAACTTACATATATTCGTGCACATTTTCCATTATATAATTTCTTTAAATATAATGCAGAGCTCTAATGCTTGGTGGCAACAATTTGAAAAAGTGAAACGCCATTTATAGTGAACCAACGCAAAACGCTAAAACGAAATTAATAGCCCTTCTGGGCAAACTGCCCTTTCGAGCTACTAATAATTAACATTATTTTTTGAAATTTAATATTTATAAATGTTTACGATTTTTCGAGAGGTAATATTTTCTAATTACAATGTGATACGTTAAAGAAAACTGTAGAAATGTTCTGATAGTTAGGCACAGAAACTTTCAATATGTTTAATGGTAGTAATCCAATATTAAAATTTATATTTCAGATTCCTTGATATTTAGAATTATACGCCCTGAAAATAATTCAAAGGTCCTTGAATTTTCTCTTGTGTATGCTTAATGAACATACCTGAAAAGCATGAAATTAAAACTCTTAAGCTGTAAGTTAATACACTTTATCTATGAAATTCTTCCATCGGAAAGTAAGAAAAAATGCTTTTCTCATATGCTATAAAGTTGAATAAAGTATTCGTCGCTAGAAATTTTATCGAAAATGTTTTTTTAAATGCTCTTTACGATAAGTGGTCTTAGCAAAATATTGAAAAATTTATACTACACAGAACTTCTTTACTTTTATACTAAACAAGTATATAATGATAATCAGATTAGCTAAACAAATAAAACAGTTATTTTAAGAATTATTTCCTATAGACAAACTGGAAAAAAAATATTTTACTCTGTTACATGTTTCATTTTTCTCCGTTTCCATTTTACTATAGGGTCCTTTTTAGTTGTACTAACAGTTATTTTAATTTTTGCCTTTTCTGAATTCTTCAATTTCCCCTCGTATTTCCTCGCCAGGATGCAAATTAAGTATTTGAACGAAAGTATTCAAACGGTTGTAACGAAAAGGTTAGACAGAGCGTGATTTCGCTAGTGAAGCGCACGTTTGTTATTTTGTTCTCCGGCTGTTAATCTTCGTAGCGGTTACGCATCCTGGTCGTCTAATTAGCATAGCACCGGTGTACGTTTCTGAGTCAGCCTGTTAGATTAAATAGAACTGTGTAATCAGACACTACATCTCTACCTTTAAATTAATTGTTAAATTGCTTTTAAGTTCTTAGCGCAAGTGGACGTTGTTTTTGTGTAAGCACGTAAATCCATGCTTTCTGTTATTCAGTTTGCGATAAACAAAGGATCTTTTAACACCCTTTTCCTGTTGTGTTCATTTTCACACCAGCTAAGAATTCACAAAGGTTTGATATCCAAGTAGTTCTGGTCCCATTGTATGATAACCAAGAAGATTAGACCTTATAATGTTACATTTTCATTTTACTCTGTTACATGGCTCTTTCAAGGTCTAAGTATCTGCAATCTTAACTCGCAAGTTACTGTATTAGAATGCTGCTGTTTGTATCCTTGAGATGAGCATTGCACATTTTTAGAACATAGAGGTAAAGTATATAATCCCTTCTAAATTTTAACACTAATGAATATTATATCAAAAAGTAAAGTTTATTAGATGAATCACTAGGCATTAATAAGAGAGTATAAAGGGAAAGTAGCGTTTAATTTCTTCTTACTCTGTCTTAAAGAGAATCTTGAACGTCATGAAGCTGGTTACAAGCAAAAACATATGCTTAGCCCTAAATATTTACATTTTTGATATACATTATTTACATTTTGTTATTTGATCCAGTTTGATACTTGTCTTCATTTTAACAGAAGAAGATAATTTTTACTTAAAAGAAAAATTATATAAAATATTTAAGTTTTAAAAATATACATCTCACAAAAGTAACTATCCGATCTTTATTCCCGCATCAGTTGGTCGCAGATATAAACTTAATTTCAAAATGTTTTAAAATATAATAATATTCCTACTTTGTCATTTTATATTTTGAAAAATAAATTTTGTAAAATTTATTAAATCTAGCTTTTTATATGTTTCCCCGGTCTTTATGTTAAGAACAATGTTATATTCTTTACAAAATATAAAATGCAAAAGACAGAAATTGCCGCGTACGACAAAATTTAATTAAGATATTTAATTTTTAAATTGTATTACTGTATAATTTTTAAAATCATACAGTATGAGGAAATCAAATATATCGCATCCTTGAGTGGGCAATTAAAAATAAATTAGGATAAATTAAGGTGGTTTGTATTTCTAGTTAAAATTATTCAATGATTTTTCTTTACGATTTACCAATGTATAACATCCTTTCATTCAAAATTTTTATAAGTGACTGTTTGGTGAGTTATGGGACGCTGATTAAGTCATTCATTTTAGATGGCTCTGCAAATGACTGTGATGTTGTCTGAGAGAAAGATTTGTCAATTATGTGGTTTTCACATAATGGTGCTCCAGCACATAGATCTGCAGGGCCACTCAATTTTTACGTAATTGTAACAAAGTAAAGGAAATATTGTAATCTCGAAAAATTTTGGTTTTCAGATTTCTACCGAAATGTTCATTTTGACCATTCCGGAATCCATTTTGACTATTACGTCGGGACGTTTATGCATGCGTATGTCGCATAACTCAAAAACGATTCTCCGTAAAATGTTGAAATTTTGTATTTGGGACGTTTGTCTAGTTTCGGCTTGACATCTTTCCGTACGGATGTATCCCGCATAACTTAGAAACAATTAGCAGTAAATTGTTAAAATTTTGTATATATAAGAATGATATAACATCTAGTCGTGCAACTCTCATTTTTATTGTAATCGGTAGTTCCAAAAGAGCACTTTGAATTGGAATATCATATCTCACTTTCGAATGAAATAAGATTTAAATAAAGTGCCGCAAAATCTGTGCATAGTTTCATAGGTGTAAAAGAAAGAGATCCTGTGTCCACACCAGATTTTCTTAGACGTACATTTGGAACTAACATTATTGGAAATGGAGGTTTAATGAAGTGGCTGCCCCGGTCTCCTGAATCAAACCCGCTAGATATTTTTTCCTCTGGAAAAGTAATGTTCATGAAAGAGAATCAATTAGTCGTGCAGTCCTGCTTTATGATACATTACAGCTTTCTAATTGGAATTGTATGTCTATGTACTTAGAATTCGAAACAATATTTATATGTCCACATTTAAATTCTAACTATTTTGTTTTCATATTCTAACTACCGGCGGTTGTGAAAATAAAATCAGGGTGAGAATTCTTGTGGACACAGTGCATATATATAGAGAGAGATATAAGTACATTTAGTGATATAAATAAATGTTTGAATATACTTCCCCTCAGCAATCTCTTTCACCTTCGTCAGCATTTCCACCTCCTCGTTGTTATTCCGGTACCTGTCTATCGTGAAAAGGACCTTAGGGTTAACTAGCTTGAAGCAGTTTAGAACTCCCTAAAATAATTTTAAAAAAATATTAAGGTTAATCCATTGACATTTAAGTAATTGTAATTTTATCTTAATGTTAAAACTACTAGTGGTAAGATTTAGATCTTCTGATATGCAACAAGTAGACTGGTATCTGTAACTTCCGCGAAGGAAAATTTTAATCTTAATAAACTCGAATTTTACGCATTAAATTTATACTTTAAGTTCTACCGTATGTATCGTGATTAATCCAAAATACTAGGCAAGCGCTTCAAACATTATCTGAATTAATGCTGTAAAAACTCATGCCATTTCTAAAGAACTACATGTTACATATTAAAACAATTGTCGAATCATATATTTTGTATCTTTCTGTATAAGTTATATCTATATATAATTTTGCGTATTAATTATAAAATTTTCAAATAAATATTTACTTTGTAAAATTAGTATATAGATATTCGCTATATGATTAGTTTTCTCAGTTTAATTTAAAAGTTTCAGTTTTCAAACGCTTTATTAACCGCTGTATTAAATTTACGAAAATGATTCGGTAAAAAACATGTTTATGTGTTGTAGGGTTTATATTTATTTTAACTAACATTTATTTTAAGTTTAAACTATCTTTCCTGTCAATCCTTACTTTCCCCTGGAACTGCCAATGCCAGAATATGTAAATTTGAGTAGAACGCGCAAGCATTCAAATTATCAGCGGAAGTAGTATGATTTAAATAGAAGGAAACAAGTTCGGTGAGAGAGAGAGTATTCTTACTTAGCGAGCGCGGAGGTAGTTTATGAGATTTGAAAAACCCCGCGTTGCGGCCTATGTGCTTGGCGGGAAGTAGTTGCAATTGTTCCAGTGAGCTTCAAGTCTGCTGAATTAGCAGCCGTATTGTAAAACGCGGTGAGTTAGTTATTTGAGAGGCCTCGTAGTTGAATATTGTCTTTAATTTCTTTCAGGTTTTTATTTTTATTTTGACTGCCGAGTTGGCACCGTTTGTAAGCGTCAGAGAACGCAATTGTAAATTAGTACGTGAAAAAGGGACTTAAACCCTTTATAAGACTCTGTGGTTTATACAAGCTTTCACAGTCACCTCTTGGTTGCGTGCTAGTTAGAGGCGCGCAACGTTATAGTGTTATTTCAATTTCATACAAACTGGAATGCAAGTAATAAACAAACCAGAAACCTTATAGTTTTAAGTGGACCTTACACTAAGTTGAAAATGTTCGAAGGAAATCAAAGATGAATAATTTTATGTAACAGAAATATTTAAATCCATTTAGTACAGAAAAAAAATTGCTTAAGCCATGTTGTTAATTCCTATGATGAATATAGTAATATTTTCTAGATATGTGTTATTAGAATCTATATTTTATTCTCATGAATAGTAAAATGTGTTTATGTAAACACAAAATTATTTACGCTATACAATTACAATTCAAATACTTTTCTATAATCATCTATATAGTATATAAAAGGAAGAGTCTCTCTGTGTGTGTGTCTTTCGTTTGTGCTGCCCCTAAGCTAACAGACCCGCAGCTACGAAATTTGGTACATAGGTGCACCTGGACAAGAGCCAGTGCATCTCGAAGCGATTTTTTCGAATGAGATTTTTTTTTTTTTTTTTTATTTTATGTTTTTTTTTTTTTTTTTTTGATGAAATCGCATCAAATCGATTATTCTCTCTTATTATATCAGCAACAATCTCACGCAGCCATTGTTGCTGATACATCACTGCTGCCATTGTTGCTGAGATCAGCCCTGTTACCACTCGGAAAAAATGGCGGTGATAATTCTGAGCAGTTTTTAAATTTGATGTTTTTGTCTTGGATACTGGACGTTTGTAGAGAGAAGGCAACGGAAAGTTGGTTAACCCTTTGCGGCACAGTGTGTCCGGTCTGAACACACCCAAAAATTTCCTTCTGTACGCACAGAAAAATTGAATGAAAAAGCATTTATAGGTTACTCTTAACCTTCTTTATTTATAGTAGATGGCAGCTCAATACAAACCAGTCCATATATTTTAGCCATTAGTGTTTTTAAGGACCCTCATTTTTCAAAAATTTCCAGATTTTTTTAGAGTATAAAAAAAATTGTTTGAAAGAAATTTCTATGTTATTTTTTTAATGTATGCTAATCTCCTTATTCTATATAGTTTTAAATTTTTGCCTTGCCTTGAAAAAAATCAAACGGCGAACCTAGGTGGCCCAGTGCCCCAGCCTGGGCATTCTTGAACTAGCAGTATTCTGTGTTTCTTCTTTCTCCATCTATCGGTCAGTTCATTGACAACAATGCTCGTTTCAGCACTCTTTTCAAAGCTCTATTCAATCAGTGTGCCAACTTTCGGCACACAGAATTAAACGATATGTGTTATCTTCACAAAATTTTACTTGTGTACTCCTCTAGGCCTAATTAGACTGCCTACCTTTTTTTTTTTTTTTTTTTTTTTTTAATCAAAACTCCAATTTTAAAAGGTAGCGTGCCGGAAAGGGTTAATTTATTCATTAGGATAATTAATATTTGTATTAAGGGATATTGCTTATTTTGTTGTAATGTAATACATTTTTATTGATTTTTTTTTTTTTTTTTTCGTTGATAAAGTTGTTCTGCAGAATGAAATTCTGTGCAGCCTTTAAATTTAATGCTTGATGTTCCCTTTGGACGAAGACGAAGGCTGGCAGCGTAGCGGCTTGTTTTATATAAAACTAAGCTATAAAAATACAGTTGTGATTAGATCTTTCTAAGAATTTCTTAGTTTTCGATTATAATAAATTTGCAAATTCGTTTTGTTCGAAACAAGTTTGATTGAAGCGTTACCTTACTCCCTAAGATCGGTAAAGCTCCCGTAAAAATAGCCCCAATGCTTGTAGCACCAAGCATAGACATGATAGCTTCTTTTCTATTGGACATATAACCTGAAAGAAAAGTTTCATTCAAATGCAGATTAAAATATACTCTAAATATCTTACACACAATATTTTCAAAAAGTAATTCATATTTGTAATTTTAATGCCTATTTTTATCCATTGAAATGATTAGTTACTGAAAATTAAACTAACTCAGTATATTTAAGATCAATTAAAGGCACACAGGTAAAATAAATGCATAATATAAGCTATATTATGTACGAATTTTTATAGTACATAAAATCTTGTTCACAGCTTTTCTTTACAACATAAATATTAATTACCCTGCCTATGATGACTTCACTTAAATTCGAAATATTTACCCAGAAATCCATTTTTTCCATAATTCAGGTACTCAAAAAGCTTTTTTTTTTTTAATTTTCAACAATAGCCTTTTATTAACTACTATTGCGCGCGTACGGGTTCGTAATGGATTGAATGCATAAATCGGTAAAAAGTTAATAAAAGTTATTCTTATCCCAAGAAATAAAACAAAATGCTAAAATTTTCTCGGAGATATTCGTACAATATCACAATACCTCACTGTAGTTATATTTTAAACTATTAAAACGTTAAACAGAACGCAATTCAAAGCAGAGAAAACTAATCCGATTAAACCGCGAATTCGCTACAATCAACAACAAGAACTCCAGTGTCTCACAAAAGTGATGGGACACTTGTGCTTTACCAAAGGAAACTGTAATAAAATAAATTAAAAAAACATGTAAACATTTTTGTGGGTGTGTTTCATACTTAAATTTAGTAACAATTATTATATAACATACATTTTCTCAAAATATTAAAATATTAATTTAATAAAAATGAAATTGTTTAGAACGGAGCAAAAAATGGCTCACATAACTGATGGGACCCCATTAGATCCTACTACGTACTACATTAAAAATATTTTTGGATTTTTTTTATTTTTACTCAAAAGCAATTGGCAATAATTTATAAAATCGTCTGCAGTATTTCTCTCCAGTTTGTTTTGGAATTTTTGTGTTTTTTTAGCTCTGCGCAGCCTTGAATGCTAAACGAAAAGAAACTTTGCCTGAAGTACGAAAATTAGTTATTAATTTGCATATTGAACGTGGAAAATCTATAAGAAAAACTGCTGAAACAGTTAACTTGAGTCATTCAACTGTTTTCAAGATCATTAAACGATATAAAAAGAATCATATGATTCAGGATAAAAGAAGACCTGGCCGACCATCAAAGCTATCCAATGGAATAAAGAGAATTATCGTTCGAAATATTAAAAAAAAATCCAAGAATGAGTGCTCCGAAAGTTGCTGCTGATTTACAAGCATTATATGAAGTAATTGTTAATCCTGAGACTTTTAGAAGAGTAATTCGATCTTCTGGATATCACGGTGGAGCAGCCGGGAAAAAATTCTTCGTAACTGAAAAGAATAGAAAACTCAGACTGGCTTTCGCAAAATCTAACATAAATAAGAATTCTGATTACTGGAATGAAGTTATATTTGCTGATGAGAGTAAATTTAATATATTTGGTTCTGACGGTAGAATCATGGCGTGGAGAAACCCCAGGGAAGAATTTCGTAAAGAGAACTTGGTGCCAACAGTAAAATAGGGTGGAGGAGGAGTTATGGTATGGGGGTGTATGTCGTACGCTGGAGTTGGTAATCTTGTTTTTATTGACAGTATTAATGGATCGGTAAAGTATATATTGACATTTTAAATCAAAATTTGAAATTTTCAGCACGAAAATTGAACCTTCATAACGATTTTAAATTCTACCAGGACAATGACCCCAAGCACACTGCTTCGAACGTTTGACTTCTGGCTGCTGTATAACTATCCTGAAATAATAAAACACCACCACAATCTCCAGACTTAAATCCCATAGAGAATATTTGGCAAGAATTGGAATCAAGAATTCGCAAACACACCATTTCTTCAAAACAACAATTAAAATCGGTGCTTCAAGAAGAATTGGGTAAAATCACTCCAGAAATCACAAAAAAAAAATTAGTCGAATCCATTCCAAGAAGATTAAATCATGTTTTAAAAGTAAAAGAAAATCCAACAAAATATTAAAACCTTTTAAAAAGTAAAATTTTTGGATAAATATTTGATGGAAAAGTAAGTGTCCCATCACTTATGTGAGCCATTTTTTGCTCCGTTCTAAACAATTATATTTTTATTAAATTAATATTTTAATATTTTGAAAAAATTTATGTTATGTAATAATTGTTACTAAATTTAAGTATGAAACACACCCACAAAAAATTTTTACATGTTTTCTTAATTTATTTTACTACAGTTTCCTTTCGTAAAGCACAAGTGTCCCATCACTTTTGTGAGACACTGTAAGTAAACAATTGAACTGAGATGTTTTTGTCTGGCTTTTTAAAGCTTTTCAATCATGCACGACAACATTCTGGTATTCTGTATTTTCTCGAGGTTTCTGGAAAGAAAAAGAGTATAATTACGAGATACCTATTTATCAAATGTTAAATGCGCGTGTCCCTATGTTTTTACTTTTTCGGCTAGCTTTCTCTTAAGACTCATCACCCGCTGCATTACACGGGGAAATAAAACAATTTAAATTATAATACAACTTAAAATTTGAAAATTAACTACAAAATCCGCAACAATGCTTTCAACTACGTTCATTCTCGTGAAATTTTTGAAATTTTTAAATAAAGTAGTGGGGCAAAATTCATTACATCTTTGCATTTAAAACAAAATTATTATTAGTCCAACGGGGCTTTGTTCGTGAAGGACTATTCTTTTCGTTTTGCGATTCATTTGCGTTGAATCACTATAAATATCCTTTTCACTTTTCAAATTGCTGCCATCCAATGTTAGAGTCCTGCATTATATTTCAAGAAATTAAATAATGAAAAATCTGCATAAATGTATGTATATATTTCTCGCACTGTGATAAAACAACGGTACATAGATCCATCGAATTTTGAATGACGTCATCCTCCTACGAATATGGGCATGTGGAAGACCCAATTTGAAATATGGAATTTGTTTTAGGATCGATTTCATATTTTGTAAAACTTTAACAAATTTTCGAGTAACAAACTCAAGGATTTGAAAGCGAGCAATGGCAATACTCTACGGGGAAAAAAAAAAACCTTTTTATCTCCAGCGTGCGCGGAACTGTATATCGGAAATTCTAAAGATAGGCTCATTTTAAAATTATTTTGCGACATTGCTATTGAACTGATTTTTATAGTATAAGTGCAAAGAACATGATATTTAATAAATAAAGGAAACTCATAAAACCTTTTAGATTTTTTTTAAATTTATAAATTCCTTTAAGCCACTGAGAGCTCTTATCGTTAACTTTAATACTTTTATTAAAATTAAATACATTAATTAATACATACAAGCAACAATATCTCCTTTCTTTAAACCGAATTTTCGGAGAGCAGCAGTATACAAAGTGGCTTCTTCGTACATTTCGGCATAAGTAGTAAACATTGTTTCCCTATCTTCACCTACATAATTAAAAGAAATAAAAATAAACATAAAATATAGCGTGCAATGTAAGTTTTGCACCATTTGAATTTATAATATTTCGAAATTATTGCACTGGGCAAATTTTCATAGCTGCTTTCATAACCATTAAAAGAGTAGATTTGTAAATTGCCAAACAAGTTATATTATTAATATTTTAATTCATTTAGGACAAATAACACAATTAAATTAAATAGCAATGCGTAAATATAGCATGCTCGAAATCCTCTAAAGAACTTACCAAAAAGCAAATGACAAATTTTTGGAGACAGTCATGTAGAGTCATTAGATTAATTGAAAGCAAGAAAAATAGCAACTGCCTTCGCCGGGAATCGAACCATTGACCTCTGAAATACCGGCTCACCACTACACCACGAAGGCATTAGTGAAGCGGGAGAAATACATTATATACTTCCCTTTTTAAAGGGCGACTAGGGTTTTAGGGGACCTAGTCGCCAAATCCTGGTTGTGTTGAATCATCATCCAACCCTTTTAGTTCGGGCGCCTCTTGTACAGTCATTAGGTTAATTGGAAGCCAGAGAGATGAAAAATAGCAACCGCCTTCGCCGGAAATCGAACCACGGACCTCTGAAGTACCGGCTCAGTGTGCTGACCACTACACCACGAAGGCACGCTAATGAAGCGGGAGAAATACCTTATAGTCATATAGATTTCAAATTTTTGCATGTATTTGTCATTCTACCATTTCATTCATGTATATTGCATTGCAGAAACTACATATTTGTATGATCTAGTCTCTTTGTCAAATTCAGACTTTGTTTCTGAGGAAAACTGAAAAATAATAACTCTGCTGTGTGCATGGATAATAGCAAACTGAAAGGGGATAATCATCATTGTAACACCTTTAAGCAGACGTAATCATAAATAAGCTTTTACCTGCACAGATTAAAGCCATGTGATCATCTCGAAATTTAAGAATGTTCTCAGCAAAGTTCAGTCTTGCACCCTCAAACCACGCAGGAGAATCTTCCATCGGAATATTCAAATCGACCACCTGAAAAATTTTCCAATCGATAAATAATGGAAACAGTTGAATATGTTTTCCTCATGTTGCATCCTAAGCCTACCTTTTTAAAATGAAAAGCGTTAGCTTGTTTAAGTTAAAAATATATAACTGAAGAGTAATTTTTAATTGAAATTAAATTTTCCGCTCAAATTGTAAAATTATTGGAGTCATTGTGCTAAATGCAAAGCAGTTCATGAAACTATAGTTCTAACTAGTTAGAATACAACTGGAAGAGAAACATGGTAATGTAAAATTAAAATTAGGTAGAAATCAACCTTAGATTAGCCTATGTTTTAAAGAAAATTCTGTGTTTTTCGACGGCGATCTTACATATGTTATCCTTTTTCAGGAGCAAACATTTTATGCTATATTTTGTCCCTGAAGTTCTATAAGTAAATAAGACTTACGAAGTATTACTCACGAAGGCTTCATGAGTTCGACCGCTCATACAAAAAGGCCGAACCAGCAATCAGGAATTATACCTACGCCAGAGACGGCTGCTCGAGCCCAATTCTCTAACCTCCCTTCTAAAACCTCGGTATTTAAACTTTCCTCCTCAAAGTAGAATTTGCATTCTTGCACGCGCGCTACCAAATTTAACTATTCTGGCACTGACAGTTAGGTTAATGAAGGCTTATAGGAAAGTCTGAACTAAAATTTAAATTATTAGTTAAAATAAATATAAATCCTACACACGCTTTGGGGAATATTCACTTCTGTGGAAATCCCCATTCTTGTTTGAATAGCTTCGAATCAACTGAACACTCTCATCTGAATAATGTTTTCTAACTGCCTTCACATTTACTGTCTGTAGAATGAAAGTACTGCTCCACCCCACAAATAACGACATTTGTGACGGGGCACGGGCCTTTCCCCTCCTATTACTATGAGCGAGGAATTGCAAATACCGAAATTTGTGTCTGTGGAGGCATTGGTAAACCAGACCATTACTTGACCCAATGCCCTCTAACCGCACAGTGGCATGTGCAGCTTCCGGAACAGGCAATTTCTCATAAGCGTTATCTGATCAAACAGCCAGCATTTCGCATCAAAATATGCAAGATAATGCAGAAACTGGAGGAATTGGGAACAGATTTGTGCAGTGTGGCATAGTTCCCTGTCAATCTCTCTTCTCTCTCTCTCTCTCTCTCTTTTTTTAACTGTATATATTATGGAACATGTACTCGTATGTATTGCAGCCCACTGTATATATTATGAAACGTATGTATTATGCCCAATGAAAATTATTATGAACTATGTATGTATTACGTAACAGGCTCAATATATTATGAACTATGTAAGCATGTATATGTATGAACTATGTAAGCACGTATTCTGAAAGATCTATGTATTATGAACTACTTGTATATAAGTCTGTTCTATGAACTATGTAACTATGTAAGCATATATTATGAACTACGTAACTATAAGCATATGTTATGAACTATGTAAGCATCTATGCAGGATCAATGTATGACCTTATAGGGCCCATGAGGTGTTGCCCCGGATATTTGCGGAACCTGGACTAGACCCGAATAGTCCAAGTGAGTCTCACGGGTGTTCAGATTCTGCTCTCAACTGTCAACTGTAATCTGCTCCAGAATCTCTTTCAACCTGATCCTGTACTGAACCAGGAATAATACTTAGTTCCAGGCATCTAGGCTCCACGATGAAGAGGGAACATTTAAAATGGAAGTCACTTTAAATGGTCTTAAAAAAAGACGCAAAAAGTGGAACTCAAGGCAACAGCCTTTTTGTATGAACATCGAACTCATGTAGCCTGCGTGAGTAAGACTTCGTAAGTCTTATTTACTTATAGAACTTTAGTGATAAAATATAGCATAAAATGTTTGCTTCTGCAAAAAGACTGCAGTCTTTTTGCAGTCTAATAGACTGCAAAAAAAAAGACGCAAAAAGTGGAACTCAAGGCAACAGTCTTTTTTGCAGTCTAATAGACTGCAAAAAGACAAATTAGGTAACACTTAACCCGTGTTAGTCTAAGGTTAAGTGTTACCTAATTTTAAATTAAATCATACACGTAACGTCAGACATGTTTCCTTTAAAATTTGGTCGTGTTTGCTTTATATATATATTCTATGCAGACGTTCTTCCTGGGCAATAGATTTTTGTGTTCGATAACATAGAATTAATTACCATAAATAATTACACTCAGTGGAATTTTAATGTCTTTATACACTTAATACCATTTCTGAAAGTATCATCTTTTAATTTTGTGGAGTAGTATAGTTTTAAGTACAAAATGATATAAATCTATTATTTAACTATGCATTATAACTATTATAATATTTGTTTTGTTAAAGGTTTATGAATTGACATTTTCTGAGCTTTTGGTTAAAATGTATCGTGAAAAATATCGACAGCGAGTTTCTATTATATTCTATTAATATTTTACTACAAGCAGTATTTAATAAGAATGTATATTAGCATGATTCAAAGATGCAAAATTTAGTATCACAGATATACAATCAGTTAAATAATATACATTTTTACATAAATTATGCATTTTTTCCTTACTTGGTCAAAATTCTTTGAATAAATTATATCACATTGCTTCCACATTTCTGCCCAGAATAGTTGCAAGTGTTCCACCGACCACTTGTGCAAATCCCAAAAATCTTCTAAAAATGAAGCAAATAAATTTATTAATTTTTCTGTTTGAATTTTATGTTATAATTATTTTCCTAAAATTGTCCAAAATAAGTGCATACAGAAAAATTCAAAATTTTCTGGAACTCATCAACGCCTGAAGTCAATTAAATAATTAGATTCCAGGAACAAGGGCTCAAATTAGATTCCAGGAACAAGGGCTCAAATTTTCTTCTTCTACAGTCGAGACTTCGGTGACATACATGTTGCCAGGTGGTGATGTCGTAATTATGTGCCTTCAAAATTTTAATCATGTTCGTGTTACTTAACTCTAAAGCTGGCATCATTATCACAAAGGGCAATTAATTTCGTTTGCGATTTAAAAAAAATATGTATATGAATTTTAAAAAAGTGCCTTATAAAATGATTAACAAACACAATTATATTGCATCTGCAACGAATGCCAGAAGTTGTGAGCATTTTATTACGGTGGCACCTAATAGGCGGCAACCATTACCTCCCATAAGGGAACAGACAATGCCTTCTCCGGGAATCGGACCCGGGCACTAAGCTATCGCAGTCGGCTTCCCTAACCACTATACTGGCTGGGCGGTTGCAATAAATATTTAATACGTTTCATAAACTGTTTGCTTATTTAGTTGATTATGAAAAAATAGAAGAGGTTATCTTCATACAGTGAGGGACATCTAATGGGAAACTGGAACTCAAAAATACATCTTTAAAGGCTTACCAGCGGCCGAGCGGTAAAGTCCCTGAACACTGGTAGGTCGATCCGAGGATCGAATCCCGAAACGGGTTCGCTACATGGGCGTGTTCGCAATTTTCAATACATGTAACGTGTTAACACGAGCCAGTTTCTCTTAGAAAGTCCTCCACGAAGGCATCTCTTCTTTCCGTGTAGTGCTTTAGGGCAGAACACGTAAATAATAATAAAAATAAATTCCTGCAGCCGGCTCGTTCACCCGGGTTAACAGAATTCAGTGGGCTTACATTTTAGCCACTATTGAGGCTCCAAAGTCATAGTAAAAGTTGACAAAAATTGACAAAAAAGCAAAATAAATGAAAAGCAACATTACAGTCTGGGTTAATAAATAAATATTTCTGTACCAATTACATAAAATACGGTATGAGAAATATCTTTCCGATTAAAATAAAGTCGCATATCACATTAAATACATATGACGGAATAAGTAAATTTTAATTATGCCGATTAAGCAAATTGTTAAAAAATATTCATAAATAAATAATCAGGTCATTAAGATGCCTTTACTATTTTTAAATCTTTCAGATTTTAATCAATTACAGTTGATATAATGGTGATTGGTAAATTACAGGTCTTATACTTTGCGTTATGATTCTCTGAGAATCACCTATGCGCTTCACGCAGCGTTTTTTAGAAGAGCCCGGGAATAGTTAATACGTATCCTAAATACTTTCAATTTTTTGTCCATGAGTTTTCGATACCTAGAGGTATGAGCATAAAATTCCATTTTGCGTGCTAAGTGGAAAAAATGCACATGCTTTTGAGGGGGTAATATATTTTTTATGCTATCATCACATTAAACGTTCACACAAAAAACTAAAATCATATAAACAAAGGTTACAAACAATAGAACTAGGTTAAACAGATTCATGGTTTTTTATACAGACACAGTATTTTTATACAAATAAAGAACCAAAAATAATTTTTTTATTACATGAATATAAAGAAGTTAAATCTAGAACGTAGCTCTAAATTAGTTTTCAATGCCACCGAAATTCCGAATGGTTTGGTTTGGTTTATTTGATTACGGCAAAGCACTCTAGGGCTGTCTTCGTGGAAGATTTTTGAAGGAAAACTGGCTCGTATACACGTTAAGCATGGAGAAAATGATGAAAATGCCATGCAGCCAGCCTGTCTGCCGGCATTCGAACCCGGGATTGAAACAGCAGTTTTTAGCGACCTTACAGTTCATCCGAAGCTGCGAAAGCCAGGTACTTTCAATAGACCTTTTTAGACTAGACGCAGCAAAAAATAAATAAATAAAATAATAAAAATTAAAAAAATCTGAAAGGTTTCAGATTTTAAATTACGTCCAAAGGGGCTTTTTAACATTTTGTCTGTTACCTTTATTTATTAAATATCATATTCTTTGCACTTAAACCATAAATTGAGTTTAATAGCAATGGTCGCAAAATAATTTTAAAATGAGCATATCTGTAGAATTTTCGATACCCAGTTCCGCGCGCTGGAGATGAAAAGATTTCTTTTTCGTGCAATGTTGCCATTGCTCGCTTTGAAATCGTTTAGTTTTTTAATCAAAAATTCTACTGAATATGTAAAATTTAGCCCTCCGTACATAGGAGTCGTGTGGAATTCACAGAAGATTTTTTTTTCTATACTTCCGTACACGACATAGTTACTCATTTATGCATTAGGCCATGGCACTCTTTTATATCGTGTTTTATTTAAATCCCCAAAAATTTAAAACGTGTTTGCGGGATCGAATGCAGAAGCCTTTTTTAGGCTACTTTTTCTTGCGCTATTTTGTTCTGGGCTGTTTGGTCATGGGTCATGTTGTCGGGACATATTTTCTTTCGACTTTCTGTCTTGGACAATTTTTTCATTTCCGAAAGTGGGTAAAGAGTTAATACTTATTCGAAATGCATCCGCGAAAATCCTGTCTACGTAAATTAATATTAAAATTTGAAGTTCAATTATAAGTAATTTCTCAAGTCAAATATTTAAGAAATGTACACGGGTCTTCGCATAAAGTATTTTGAGATGTTCCTTTCTGGACCACAGTCATATGTTGCATAGCTGGTATATTGCAATATCGATACAATTATTCGCAGTTACGTAACAAAATGTCAGCAATGGTGGGTGCGATAGTTACATCGAAGTCGTCTAAGGAAAGCGCGTATAACAAAAGGAAAGTTACTGGTCAGGTAAAGAAAGAAAATATTCGCTGATATACTAGAAACGTTGATATACTAGTTTCCAAAAGGAAAAATGCAGACGAGGAGGAGAGGCCCAAGAAAGATCGAAAATTTCAAATCAGTCGAGTCAAATCTGCTTGAAGTAGAAGGACAACGAAAGGCAAAAGGCCAAGAAAGCTACAATCTCAGTAAGAACGTAGCAGTGTTGAAAGAAATGGACAGCTGCATCCAAATCTGTAATCAAAATAAACGCTTGACAGTGAAAAAGCACAGTGAAAATCGAAAAGGTCCTGCGACCATGAAAGGAAGATGGAGCTTAGCTAAGGTGGTGGAAGCTAACGGTGCAGCAACATTTTCCCAAAAATAATTCCGTAGCTGCAGAAAACATTGAACCGCGAAAATCTATGAGGATTCAGAGACACAGCGACAAAGAAGACAAGATGATGATTCCTGGAGATGATAAGTATGATTACCATTCGAGAAAATGGCTTCGGATCAGCACGATATTTTTCCCAACATAGGAAGAAATTTAAGGACAGGAGCAGGAAGGGTTACGAGAAAATAAAACGTCAGTGGAAGTTTGATTTATTGGAAGTATTATGTTATATTTAATTGCATAAACTTCCAAGTATGCTTTCACTTTACTTCAATCGAGGATTCAAGTTAAGTCGCTGTTTTTGCTAATAAGTTCGTCTGCTTCCTAAAAAATCAGTTTTTTTGTTAAACATCACCATGTTGGATTATTCGAAAATCTGTAAATAGTCAGAAAGTTTTGGAACCAGATACTAAAATAGCAACTATATTAGGCAATTTTATTACTTTTCTTAACGTTATATCGGAGTCTCAAACTAAGAATCCATTTATATTTCGCAAACGAATATTTCTTTTCTTTAAATCGTGCAAGTGGTGGAGTTTTAATTTTGCACTCAGAAGCTCTGCAGTTTGTTAAATTTAAGCTTTAATACAAAGGTTATAGAGACATTAGGTTATTTCGAAGCAGGAGAGATGAAAAAATGAGCAAAGTCCTCGCCGGGACTTAAGCCTCAGATCTCTCAATATGCGCCGAGCGAGTTGATCATTACACCACGAAGGCAAGCTAAGAAGGCGGGAGAAATACCTAATATACTTCCTCTTTTAAAGGGCGACTGGGGATTCGGGAACCCAATCGCCAAATCCTGGTGGTGGAGAATCATCATCCATCACCCTTTTTTTAGTTCGAGCCCCACTGTAGAGTCATTAGAATTTTTTGAAAGCAGGAGAGATGAAAAATGAGCAATGCCCTGGCCAGGAATTGAACCATGGACCTCTCGAATACGCGCCAGGCGTGCTGACCATTACACCACGAAGGCATGCTAAGAATGCGGGAGAACTACCTTATAAGGTTATTTAAAACCAGCTAAGGACATCTTTCACAGAATGAGCGAAAACTCGCTTAAAATCTAAGAATTGTTAAATAATTTTAACTTATATTTATACAGATAGTAACTCTATTACTAAATGTTTATTTAAGTTTTATTAAAAATTAACACACCTGGAAATTGTAATTAATTTTTATTTAGTATTTATTCACAGTATCCAACCCACGTAAAGCAAAAAATAGGTATTCAGCCAAAGACCAGTAGGTTTTGAAATACATATTCCAAATTTTTTATGCTTATGATTGATTAAAATGTTTCTTTACGTACGTTTCGAAGATAGGAATGAATTCAATGAGAAATAGTGAAAACCTTATGCATGTGTTTTTATTAAAGGCAACTTTAAATGGAATGAAATGAAATATTACTTTCTTACTTAAGGTGAAAATTGTGAAATTTTAATTTAAGAATATTAGCTTATTCTATATTCACCTATTAACTACAGTTTTGCAGTAGTTTATAAAGCTGTACTTTATAAAGTTTTCCAAGGCAACGCAAATAAAAAAATCTCTGTTATAAAAATATAACAAAATAAAAAAAAAAAAGGAATTTTATTTAATCGAACTTGGGACATTCTCATTGGCTGCAAGTATCCGGCCTCTTGAAACATTATACATCTTTACATCGAAAATATAAATGATTATTTTTTCCCTAAGTTTTTTAACGCAAGTAGATTTCATTGACAGAGAAGCAATAAGCTTATTATGATAAAAATTAATTACTTCATGGATATCTCTTTTCATCTATGAAAGCCAAAAAATTAGGTAACAAATTTTTAAATATAAAAACATGGAGTAAATATATGAAAAATATCAGCTTACTTAAAGTCACATTATACTTAGATTCTATCAACTTTTTAAACTTTCTCATTTCAGCTCCAGAATCTTCACGTGGCTGCCACACTACCTCAGGAATGTTATCTGTTTTATCCATATTCTGCCTGAAAGCATAACATTATATATGTTCATATTCAATATGAGTAATTAGATAAAGAACACATTTCATTTTTGTAAGTTAAACTCCCAGAACTATTGCCGTAACTAATATTTCTAAGCCTTGGTTATCTAAGCGAAACGTTATGTATGTAACATTTGCAACATTAACCGCTTGATGACCTCGCCCGAGATATCTCGGGAATAGATGCCGTTTCGATTTCTCTATGAACGAGTTAACTCGGGCGCTGATAATTTTACGGAAATTTATGCCATCGCCGGTAATATCGCGTGGCAATCGACCCTCTGCCATGCATATGTTTACTTAGCTGTGGGAGGGGTCTAAGCGGCTTTTGTGATTGGTTCCTCCATGACCTTGAGCTGCTACCGGCGACGTGGCCGCATTATAAATGAACTGCACATTCGGTGTGTTTTGTTAGTCGATGCAGATTACCAGATTATCACGCTGTTGCAGAATGGGATGTGCCGCTGTGTGTTGCAAATGTACCGTACTGTCAATGACATTTATAGATCGTAAAATATATTTACTTGATTTTTACTTTAACTCTTTTTACCTATTATTACCTAGACTACAGTTTTGTATTACTTTTGGCTAGTGCTTTTTTTTTTTTTTTAGACTACAGTTTTGTGTTACTATTGGCTAGTGTTTTTCCTTCTGCTTCATTGAAGCCCGAGTAACTCGGGTAATGTCAGGAACCATAATAAATATCTTATCCACCCCCTCGAATTTTTCGGCCACTGGGTCATTCCGGTCATTAGGCTGCGTGTTGTCCAATAGTTTTCCAGAGGACAATTAAAATATGACAATGCGGAGAATTCGTCAATGTGAGCAGCGGTCATACCTTGTCTAGTATGAATACAATATACGTACAGAAAAGTCAAGAATATTAAAATGAAATGAATGGGCACGGAGAAAGTCGTGTCCAGTGAACAGCCTAAAAGTGGCCATCACAGTTGCACAAGGAGCATCCGGAATAAGATGGGAATTGGGCGCTGAGGACACTCCAGGATAAAAAACTCCCAGAATTTCTGATTCAATAACGAATTTTATTGAAATGGCAGGACTCAATTTCAAATATCTTAAACAAATCAATGCTTTTTACAATTAACTACAGTTTTGCAGTAGTTTATAAAGCTGTACTTTATAAAGTTTTCCAAGGCAACGCAAATAAAAAAATCTCTGTTATAAAAATATAACAAAATAAAAAAAAAGGAATTTTATTTAATCGAACTTGGGACATTCTCATTGGCTGCAAGTATACCTGATATTTTCTTATAAACCAGTGCCGCTGTGTGTTGCAAATGTAGCGTACTGTCAATGACATTTATAGATCGTAAAATATATTTACTTGATTTTTACTTTAACTTTTATTACCTATTATTACCTAGACTACAGTTTTGTATTACTTTTACTTTTGGCTAGTGTTTTTTCCAGACTACAGTTTTATATTACTTTTGGCTAGTGTTTTTTTTTTTTTTTTTTTTTTTTTTTTTTTTTTTTTTTTTTTTTTAGACTACAGTTTTGTGTTACTATTGGCTAGTGTTTTTCCTTCTGCTTCATTAAAGCCCGAGTAACTCGGGTAATATCAGGAACCATAATAAATATCTTATCCCCCCCCCTCGAATTTTTCGGCCACTGGGTCATTACGGTCATTAGGCTGCGTGTTGTCCAATAGTTTTCCAGAGGACAATTAAAATATGACAATGCGGAGAATTCGTCAATGTGAGCAGCGGTTATACCTTGTCTAGTATGAATACAATATACGTACAGAAAAGTCAAGAATATTAAAATTAAATGAATGGGCACGGAGAAAGTCGCGTCCAGTGAACAGCCTAAAAGTGGCCATCACAGTTGTACAAGGAGCATCCGGAATAAGATGGGAATTGGGCGCTGAGGACACTCCAGGATAAAAAACTCCCAGAATTTCTGATTCAATAACGAATTTTATTGAAATGGCAGGACTCAATTTCAAATATCTTAACTAAATCAATGCTTTTTACCTGATATTTTCTTATAAACCAGAGCTAAAGTGACAACCATTTCCGTGAGTAAGAGTTTCCCTTGAACAAAGGACATCGCTTTTAAAAGCTACAAGTAAAGACTGTATTCGCGATATATTTCATTGCATAGGAAGTTTTACTGGAAAAAGGACAGTAAAAAGGGATCGGAATACTGGATAAACGGACAGTAAAATTCCATAGGAAGTTTTACTGGAAAAGGGGCAGTTATAGAACTATATGGTTCCACGAAACACGAAACGAATGTTGGGCGAAATGGATTACAAATAATGGTGGCCTGACGTTGCATTGAGAATCATAACGTTTTTGTAAATTGTTCAATAAATATTTACCATACCATTCTTTTTTTCAATCATTTACTTTTTTTTACTCCCAACAGCCACACTAATCGGTATAGTAATTACCGACGCTGGCTGCCATACTGATGGGCCCGGGCTCGAATTCTGAAGAAGAGTGCTTGTTTGTAAGTGCATAGTTTATACGCGGTATGAGGCACTTAAAACATTAGCGAGCCAAAATAGTCTTTTCGAGTTGTTTAGTGGTACAAGAAAAGGGGAAAGGGGTAGGAGACTCCCGAACCGTCCCAAGAGTTTTCGCCATCAACCGTGATTAAAACTCTACACCTATTCTCCTCTCAACAGCCGAAATAAAGTAGGCTCGCGAATGGCGAAACCCATCGGTTCTATACCCACTTACATTGTTGCTCAGGATGCACCTCAGAGAGTAGATCGATATTACACCCACAGAAAGGGGGGGAAGACAACTGCAGAAATGTATGCTTTCTCAAGCATTGAAAAGTTTAGAAAAAATTAATTAAATTTTAATCTCACTAAAAAGGTTATTTTTTAAAAAGATTTTCGAAAATGCATGAAGAAGAAGAGAAGGTATAATGTCATTTCTTTTTGCTCTTTAAAATCTCGGAGATCTTGTTGCTTAAATCTAGATCAGTTCGTTGCCAGATAAAATTTTGTAAGGTGAATATTTTGCTTATGAATAACATATTACTTTTTATTGCAAATACCATTGCATCTATTAAATATAAGGAACAATGACAAAAATTTCATCTGCACTCTCAAATTACCTTGGATAATGTACCAAAAATATTAACTCTTCAGTTAAGAATAACATAATCCAAAAAACTGAATCATTGCTTAAATATACACCTTTTCAAACTTTTAAAAAAATTGGAATAATGGTTATATATTTTATTAAATTTCTCGAATATTTTAAAAATAATTTAATATGTTTGACTACCAGAATTCAGTGACTATTGTTTTAACTAGATAATTTAAAGTATAATAAATAAAATCTGAAATTGCTTCCCGTGCACTTACGTAATTTATGTAATGAGATAAAATGAGTGACGTAAAAGTCCCACGAGAAATATATAGGCTAAGAAAAAAAATGATACTGGCCTAGGAAAAAATTATCTGTACTTCTGAAATATGGAAACGGGCTAAATCCGATTAAATGCAGATACGTTAAATTCCACTCTCCCGATACATTTTCTTATTGTATTTTAGCAAAAATTTCAATAGATTTCTGAATAGCTTCACAAATGTTTTGGGATTTCATCTGTCAAGTTAATTGCTGTTTTCTCTGTTAAATTACTAGAGGTGAAATAAAATAATAAAATTTTCAAAATTTAAATTTACGATGAAAATAACAAGATCAGATTGCATAAAAAATTAATAAAATACAAATACTTTACATTACCTTGAATTTCAGATATCTTTATCGTAAGTGCCGTGCTTCGCAAATAAAGAAAATGTGTATCTTTCTCAGAGGTTGAAGCTTTTACCGTTGAGAACAGAAGTTAAGATAGAAATATCTTTTCTTATCAGCAGCTTAGAACATGCAATAGATATCAGAAAAAGTTCAGAAAAGTGTTATCAAAAGTTTATCAGTGGTATAATGTATTCAAATTGAAATACATATGTTACTGGTGAAATGGAATAAAAGGAATACTGAAAATAAGAAAAAATATCATTCTGAATGAATTACAAGATTAAATACTAATCCGTCACTCCTTTCTTTAAGAAAGAAGTTAATTGTAATTCAGCCCCCTTCCCCCCCTCGCATCCCTTTCGCCATAGCTAGAAGATCACCCTCCCTTCATTCCAAAATTTGAAAAATACATATATATATTTGTTTAAATTTAGATTATTCTTGAATTTGTTTTAAAAATTAAGGAACGAAAGTACAGAAAATATTGGTAAAAACAAAACTTGAATAAAAGTATTTTTTTACATTCATAACCTAAAACTAAATAAAAGGTTAACAGTATTCTCCCCCTCCTGAAACTACAAAAGCAATGATGAATACCTGAAAATATGAAATCTATCCTGAAACTATGAAATTCTCTCTAGGGGACCCCATGGTTTAGAATGCCTGCTAACGTCTGTTTCTTTTAAATAGGCAATTCACGGCATTTACCCTCGCCCTTTGCAATAATAACGCATATCATCGTCATCTCACAGCACTTGTTTTCTCCACCTCATTTCAGATTATAGTTCAAGTCAGCTTTCATTCAGGCATTTTTCGTGAAACGGAAGTTGGCTTTCCCCATGTAAAACGTCTATACGAGCCAGTTTCAATAAGAAAGTCCTCCACGAAGGCATCCCTTCCCCTTAGGCAGATAGCCCTCGAGGCTTTGCCATAATCACATCACACACGTGAAGCGGAAGACGCTGAACTAAAATGGAGAGAGAAAAAAAAATTAGGCAACCTGAACCATCTACTACAGTTTTCGCTTCCCTTCCTACAAGGCAACCTGGGCAGCGGAAAATAACCCTCAGGTTCCTACCTTAAAATTAAAAAAAAAAATGATGAAGATACCACATGACTTCCTTCTATGGCATATTAAATTATACGTATTTTTTGCTGCATTTCATTTAAATTTATTTCCTCAAATTTCGTTAGAAATATATTTCTCATTCAATTAATTCAGTCCTTACTTCGCGGCAAGGCAAAAATACATAAAACCTCAAATTATCTTCAGTAAAAGTTGAAAAATATGGAAAAAAAATAAAACACCAAACACAGTTAAAACAATAATTTTTTTTTTTTTTTTTTTTTTTTTTTTTTTTTTTTTTTGGAATTAAAATTAGTGTTTCCAGGCAAAAACAAGCACGGCCAGGAAGCAACAAGGCAGATTTTTCGGTGCACAAAATTGAAGGTTTACATTTGCTCATTGTTTACATTACAGTCGTCAAAAAGACATTGAAAGTGCAGAAATTGATTTAATTCATTATCCTGCTAAATTTCAAATGTAAATAAATACGGCTGCTACGGTAAACAAAAAGTAGGCTTAGCCGCACTTAAACAATTTTTAAATTGTAGAAAATTCTACAACTATTGTATGCATATTAACTAAAGACATAAAACCCTTAACCGGAAGATAAGAATAACATAATTCAATCATTTTTAAAGCAAAAAATGCACAATATACCAACATATAAGAATGAAAAGAAGTGAGCTCACCGAAACGAGTAACAACGTGAGCATATATATATAATTTGAGTGCGATCGATTGCAACCAGAAAGTGAGGTGCACAACGACATGTAATAACAGTTCTATATACAAAATTTCAACGTTCTGAGACTATGAGTTTTTTGAGTTATGCGAGATACGTACACACATATACCAGTACGTACGTACTGACGTTATGGAAAAATCTCTTCTGAGTCCATTTAAAATCAATTTTATAATCTGTTTTGGGAAAAACAGTTCTTTATTCTATTCTTATGTGCAGATGTTACGCAGAAACAGCGTTAAATTGCATTCGATGCCAGTCAAAATGGTTATTTTCTCTGAAATATGATAGCCGGAATTTTTCGTGATTATAACACTTCCTTTACCTCGTACAAGGAAATAAAAATTGTAGAAGAGAAACAATTTTTTCCTCTCAATTTTAAGACTAATGTCGTTCCATAAAATGGACTCTCTTTTTACTGAATTATACTTTAAGACAATAATCATTAAAAACAATGAATTTTGTCATTTGCTGAAGTAAAAGAAAAATATTACATATGTATAAGAAGCTGATAAACAGAGAAGTATGCATAAGGTTTATTGATTTCTATTTTAACAGATTTGTTTCATTGCATTTCGTTACTTAATCACACAGGCATAAGTCCTTGTTTAAGAGTCAAAAGGTTTATTTTATGCTGTAAAATAATTCGAAAAGAGAAAAAAGAATTTATATATTAGAAAACCTTTTTAAATGGATACTGCAGGTGCTGCTTCCGTAGCGGATTTCAAATAGGGTTTTCGTACACCAGCTTCCAAGTTTGACCGTTGCTTTAACCAATAGTTAGAATTTCTGTCCTTCGATGTTTTTTCAATAATTTAAAATTTTCTCATTTCAAACTTGGTTGAAATGAATTTGGCAAGGTTGATTCATCAACTTAAAGAGAAAATTCGGTGGGTATCAAAAATTTGCATAACGAAGCTTCAACATCTTCTACCATATCATCAATACGTCTTCGCACTGTATCATTGCTTAATAGGACATTTTTTTATAACATTGGATGCGGCTGGATGGTGTAAAACCGCTTTTTAAAACTTCCTTGACAGCCGGCAGTATCAAATCTTCACCTATGGTATGAGCAATTAATTTTGATATATTATAAGACACTATCAAACCATCGTCGTAATTTTTTGGTGAAGTTGCTAGTGACTCGGAGACAGACGGTAACTTCAGAAACTTGACTCTGATGTTAGGGAAAAATGACAAAACTTTATTGCATTTGTCAGGATGAATTTTTTGCCCATTCGTCTCTTCCTTCTTAAAATTGCATGAGCAGAGCCGTCGCGTTAAGCTCATTTTATTGCTGGTATAAATGGTATTAATCGGATAGTCGATTTAGTAAATTTTTTGGGGGGAGTTTTTAAATTAAATTTGAATGCCAGAACATTCTCATCGCCCCTACTGCCCAAAACATGCTCGCCGTCCCCTGCCGCCCAAAACAAATTCATCATTCCTCAGCATACTTCTACTGCCCCCTAGGGGGAGATACCGCCCCCGTTGAAGAATGTTGCCAGATAAGCGCCATACTCGAAAAGTTTCTGTAGGCTGACCCTGCTTTTACTTATCACCTCACCACCTGTGTTTGGGCGTACGTCCAAAAGAGCGAGTTCGAATATGTGTCTTTGCGGATTTCTCAATTATTTACAGAATAAACTTTCTTTTCTCAAAAAATTAAATTTGTCTAGATATCTTTAGCACTAACGAAACATCCATGAGGAAAAAATAGAGCAGAAAATTGAAAATAATATTAAGTATCAAGCGTGCTGAAGTCTACACATTCCCCCCTTAAAATGATTAGAATAACTGTCAGTTGTTGGTGGCACTATTAGAGTACGTTTTTAGGAAGCAAAATCAATAAATTCTATAGTCTGAAAATTATATCGAAATACAGCTTTACAGTCAAAGTTCGTACACAATTCGTTTCACTGTTTTTTAATCTTTTAAAAAATGATACCTACGGAAGCTGGTGTTTGCAACAATTCTTTGATAAATACGAAGCACTTATAAATAGAAAATAAATATTTGCACACAGTGTGACCTTCTAAATCTCGGAAAACAGCCTGTAGACTTAAAGGTTTAGCCAGTAGACTGATAGGAATTAGTTGCGAAGATGAAGCAAAGAATTGACAAATATTACTTATCTCATTCATATCATCAGTCTGTTACGTCTACAGTTTCAATGACAGCGTACTCCAGTGTAAAAAGTAAAAGTGTCTCATTTGCTGCTTCTGATATAAAAGTTTCGAGATCGCCAAATGTGTTTGATCCTTAGACTGATCCAGCTTTCGCAGGAAATCAATCTCAAAAACCACTTCATTTTTATCAGCTCTCTTAAAGTCGCACTCTTCTACAATTACTGTAAGAAAAGTCGCTTTTTTATTCTCAGTATCTGCTATAATTTAGATATTTTATTCTTAACATACATAAATTTATGAGTATGAAAAGTTATATATTTCATTTCAATTACACTAGACGTTATAAAATTAGTTCTTTACCAGAATGAACATTCATTTTATAAAATGCATTTTATATCCCAGTTTCATGTTTACTTTCTTGAGATATTAGTATATGTCGAAGTAGAAGATGTGAAGAAAAAAACAATGCCCTCGTCGGAAATCGAACCACGGATCTCTCGAAATACGCGCAGAGCGTGTATACCACCCTACTGCGAAGGCAGGAGAAATACCTTATACACTTTAAAACTTACTTATATACCCCCTTTTAAAGGACGACTGGGGTTTTAGGGGACCTAGTCGCCAAATCCTAGTGGTGAAGAGTCATTATTCACCACCTTTTAGTTCGGGCGCCACTGTAGGGACATTAGGAATTTTTAGGAAGCAGAAGAGATGAAAAATGAGCAACGCTTTTGCCGGGAATCGAACCACGGACCTATGGAATACCCGCAGCGTGCAGACCACCACACTACGAAGGCACGCTAAGAAAGCGGGAGAATCAACTTATAACTTAAATTCCATTGTACTATTCGTTCTTTCGCTCAACCCGTATAGTGGTTAACGTCGCTGACTGCCGTGTCGAAAAGCCAAGGTTTGAATTCCGGAGAAGGCATGGATGTTTATAAATGTATAGTGTCCGTGCGGCATGGGGGTACTCTAAATATGCGGGAAGTCAAAAGTCCTCACGAGAGATCGTGGTAGGGAAAGAGGGGTGGGAGACCCTCGGACCTGTCCCCGCCAGAGTGCTCTGCTTCAAAATCGGGGGCAGAACCGAGCTAAACCTCGCTGTCACCAGTAAGGAGATCAAGACTGTTGACATCGACAGACGTAAACTTGCGATCCTTGCCACGAGGAATATCGTGGGCTTGGATTGACTATAGCTCAGACAAGTAAGCATTAGCAACAAAAACAAAAGTTGTTCGTTCTTATTTCCGCTTCTTATCTTTAACTGTGTTTGTCTAGTTAATTTTATATGAAAGTTCACCTTTTAGTAAAATGTGTCTTTTTACCTTCGGCCAACATACAAATATATAAGTAAGGAAAGTAACGTTTTCTGTCCAAATATTCGATTGGGAGTTTTCAAAGAATAAGCCCAAATTAGGGTTCTCCCCACACATGCAACACGTTTTTAATATTTTTAGAATGGTATCTGTCTGTCTGCATGTATGCACGGAAACTTCCAAAAATTTCCATTTTTGGTATTCAAGCTTCCTACTTTCATATGAAGAGTTGGTTAGATTTTCGGTAAAATTTGGCAATTAGAAAAGATAGTTTACCTGAAGTCCATAAGGCCAGTTTACAAAAGACCAGTTAACACAAGCGGGATTTTGAGCCCAAGTAACGCGCATAAACTTGATGTTTTCACTAAAGGAAAAAAACGCTACTAACTAATCTCGCCTTTACAACCTATATACATAGGTCAGGGAGGCTATGTTTTCAGTCCAAAAATTCGATACTGAGTATAAAGAGAATAAGCACGAATTAGCGTCCTTATGACACGTTTTTACTATATTTAGAATTATGCTGTCTTTCTACTTATCTATGTGAGTGATTCGTTCACATATACTCTTACATGAAACTTCCAAAAAATTGTGTTTTCCTTATTTAAGCTTTCAATATTCATATAAACTATAAAGAGTTGATTAGATTTGGGGTAAAATTAGACTACTGGAAGTGGTACTTTACAGGAAGATTGTAAATTAACGCTTAAACTGTAACTGTAATTGCAGACTGTAAATTAAGACCATTAAAGATTCAACAGTCTTTAATGGAAAACCGGAAGAAGCACTTTATTTGAAACGCATAAAAGGTTTTAATAAAAAACTCTATTAAATATAATCCAAAACGTTTTAGATTTAGTATTTAAGGCATTTACATCCGAAGCAGGTCGTTTCGACGCCGACGGTTCGACGCCAACGGTTCGACGCCAACGTTTTCGACGCCGGGGCAGTTCGACGCCGTACGTTTCGACGCAGGGACAGTTCGACACCATATTTTTTTCGTATTTTTATTTATTTTTAGAATAAATATGAAGTAATATAAATAAGTAATATGACTGATTTTTACTTCCTTGTACGAAGTAAAAAGGAAGTATTGTAATCGCGAAAAGTTTCAGGCTGCATATTTCAACGAAAATATCCATTTTGACCGCTATCGAATGCAATTTAACGATGTTTTTGCGTGATATCTGTACGTAAGAACAGAATAAAAGACTCTTTTCCTCCAAAAAAAAATTATAAACCTGCTTTAAAATTAATTCTGAAGAGAATTTTTCGTGGCGCCTGTACGAACGTATGTTCGTACGTGCGTACATACGTACGTACGTATCTCGCATAACTCAAAAACGAGTAGCCTCAGAACGTTGGTGGTGGTGTATTTAATTATGGCAAAGCACACTAGGGCTATCTGCCTAAGGGGAGAGATACCTTTCGAGGAGGACTTTCTAAGGGAAACTGGCTCGTATACACGTTACACATGGGAAAAACCACGAAAACGCTCATGCAGCCAGCCCGTTCGTGGGACCTCAGAACGTTGAAATTTTGTATATAGGACTGCTATAACATGTAGATGTGCACCTCGTATTTTGGTTCCAATCGGCCGCACCTAACGTACATAAATATATTTATATATATATCCACTCTGTTACTTGGCTCAGTGATCTCAGTTTCTTTACTCTTATATGTTGGTAAATTGTACATTTTTTGCTTTAAAAATGATTGAATTGTGTGGTTTTTATCTTCCGGTTAAGGTTTTTATGCCTTTAGTAAATCTGTATGCAATATTTTTAGAATTATCAACAATTTTAAAGTTGTTTAAGTGCTGCTAAGCCTAATAATTTGTTTGATGGCGGCCATTGCTTGTTTACATTTGAAACAGCAGGATAGTGGATTTGTTGCCAATCTAGAGAAACTTAGCTATGCAACAACAAAGATAACGCCTTCATTTATTATTGCCAATTAAATCATGCTTAATCCTTTCTGGAATTTTTTCGAAGAAATATGTGTTAAAGATTTACTTCGTAATTTTTAATATAGATATTCTGATTTTTTATGTATTTTTGCCTTCTCGCGAAGTGAGAACTGAATTAATTGAATGAGAAATACTCAATTGTCTGTGAAAAACTGTTTCTTTTTTGTTTTGTTTGCTTAATTTCTTTTATACATCATTCTAGCTTTATTATAGTATTTGAATAGAACATATGGCAACGATTAGATAATTCTATTCTTTAAATGATATAAATTTTGTGCATTAAGAGTTATAATATGAACGATATAATACTGTTAAATGAATCTAGCGCCAGAGTGTCGCTATGGTAAGCAAATACTAGAGTGAATTTTAAAGAATGCATTTATTCCATTGTGGTTTATGCGCTGTCGGCGAAGTAGATTTAAGTCAATCCAATAAGTTTAAATGAAATGCAAGAAAAAATGCGTATAGTTTAATATTCCGTACAATGAAGTCATGTGGTGTATACATCAGATTTTTATTTATTGAATTAGCGATTGTTTGCACGCATATTTGAAATAAATATATGTGTGTATATGTGTGAAAGTGTTCTAGATTTTTGTTTGTGTCCCAGATTAATGAAAAGCCCCTTCGCCAACGTCAAGGCCCCAGGACATGAGGAAGGGTTTTTTTAAATTTATTTATTTCACAAAACAGCATCAAAAAGGCAAAATACACAAATGGTAAATAAACATATCGTTACAAAGTAGTTGTATTATATTACAGACAAACATAATTACAAATAAATAAGATTACAGATAAATAAGATTACACATAAATAAGATTAGAGATAAATAAGATTACATCACAGAACTGTTATTATACTAATCCATTGCAAAATTATGAGCCACACCTTTCAGGTATTCCATTATTTATCGATTTTCAAAATCTTCAACTATTACTTTAATTCTCATATTAGCTCGTAGATACCAATTTTGTTTGTGCGGCGGTTTATCTCCACGTAAATTACAATGGAATAAGCAATACCCCTTAATATAAATGTTAATTATCCTAATAAATAAATTAACCAACTTCCGTTTGCAAAATCGTAAGAACTCAAATGGTATAAAGGAGGTTAATAACTTTGTTTCTTAAAAAAAATCACTCAAAACTTTTCAATATCTTAAAAACAGTGAAATGAGCAATAAATAACATAAAAGAATACAAAAAACAAACAATTCTGAAAAGCAAAGTATAATTAATGATATTTTATCTTATATTTTCAAGACAAAAGAATTACAATGAAATAAGTTATATCCCTTAATACAAATATTAATTATCCTAATAAAAAAATTAACCAACTTTCCGTTGAAGGAAAAAAAATCATGCAAAACTTTTCAATATCTTACAAACAGTGAAATAAGCAAAAAATAACATAAAAGCAACTCAAAAAACATAAAATTCCGCGCAGAATTTTACTCTGCAGAACAACTTTATCAAAAAAAAAAAAAATCAGTAAAAATGTACTATATATATATATATATAAATGACAATGAAATATGCCAATCTCTTAAAAATAGTGACATAAGAAATACGATGAAAAGTTGTTTCCAAACCCATATTTCTAAAAGAATGAAACGATTCAAAATGATGCGATTTCATCAAAAATCTATCAACAACAATAAGAAAGGAAAATTGTTGCCAAAATCCCATTTTTAAAGATGTGAGATGTGAGAAGCGTGCTCGGAAGCTTCATTTAAAAATTTTTTTAAAAATACAAAATATTATCATTTTTCCAAAATTCTTTTTGTAAAAGCAGACGCAAGGATAAAAGTTTAACGTGTCCAAAAATTAAAGAAAAATAAACTGTACATTTTTAAAAATGAACTTTTTTAGAAAAAATCTCGTTGATAAAGTGTTAAGCTCCCTTTATTAAATAAATTCGTATTGAATCGATTT